GCGGGCAGGCGCGCCCCAGCCCGCAACTTCCGCGTTCGCTTCCTTGCTTTGGGCAAGCGCGACTGGCACGTCCTCATCTCAGGCGTCCAATGCCTGGAGGAAGGCGACACAAGGCCTGCAAGTTGATGGCCAAGATCGGTACCTCATCCTCAAGTACCACCAAACATTCCAACCTGGAGCATACGTGGCAGCTCATCCCCTGGCTCACAGCCGAAACTCGTATTTCTCATGTGATGCATGCGTGAATGGCGTGAGCCATCAATTGTCGGCCTGAATGCTTCCACGGCGTTGTGAGAATCAGCCCCAACTTCCGCCGACTCCAGCCGTCGTGACTCCGCATGCTCGGCTTCGCCCTCGAGCTGCTTTGCCGTTCCTGTCGAGCAAGTAAGAATCTCTGAATATCTTCCACCAGCCCCTGCCACGCCGCAGCCCCTGCATCCGCCCATGACTCCGCGAGCTCGCGTGGCAGGCCCAGGGTCGGCCGCATCAGCCGAATCTCCTGCGCGACTGGCATCAGCGTGGCCTGTCAAACACTTACGCCCATGGCTCCAGGAGCAGCTCCTCGCCGGACCGCAAGACCGGCAACGTCTACGAAGTGGCTTGCGAGAGCAATTTTGCACTAAGCTGTTCCGCGAGCACCAACGGGCAAGGCGCTCGCCGCAGGCTTCTTGGGGGCACGTTCGACCCTTGTTTCGGTATGCAACATTCGCGGACCTCTTGCTTGGGCACCATGGCCGTCTCGGCCCTTGGTCGGAGTACACCATCTTGCACATTCGCCCCCAAGGATTCACCGACCTCATGCCATCCGATTGAGGCGCGAACATTGTCAAACTCACGACTTGCCTCTTCTGGGTTCGACTTGGGACGACTTGATTTGCTGGCGGCCCATTTTGCCAGCGAACGGCTAAGAGTCATTTGGATGTGAGGTTGGTGTCCACCTGTGCACCTCATGCCGAAACACCGGCTCAGGGCAAATGGATGCCACGTGCCGGATGTCGCAGATGCTCAGACGCCTCGCTGCTGCCCGCCATGACAAATTGAGCCTGGACGGCGCCACAGACACGACGCTGTGCTCATACTCCGCAGTGCGGTACAGTACATCCTACACCCCCCCGCGAATTGTCCCTGAAGTTGAGAGCCACCACGCCTCCTCCGGTGGCGCCAGCCGCCTGTGCTGGCCCTCGGCCAACAGTAGCGGGCAACCTCAGCCCCAAATCTCGCCATCACCCGCCATTTCCGCCATGGGCGTCATTGCCACGTTTTGACAGAGCAGATCATCTCGGGGAAGGTTCGAAATCGAGCTTAGTCCGCCCGACCATCGGCATTGTGGCCGGCTACGAGCCTCGACAATCTCATTGATACGCAGTTGCTTACCATGAGTCGGAGCGACCAGTCCGAGCTGGTGTAGACTGAAACGGATATCAACGCTGGCGGCGCGAATCCTCAGCGTCGGGCGCGACGCTCGTACTGAATACGACGATAGCACCAAGGAGGATGCGACCTCGTCGAGCACATGGCCTTCTGCGGGAGCCTCATTAACAGCCAATACAAGCTGTCTTTGCGCACGGAATCAACTGCTACGCTATGCCCTGAACCGCGATGAAGATGTAGATCCGTCCCGCGCAGCTGGTGGGCTCGGCTCTCAAGCGTAATTTTCGACATGAGACGAACAACATTGATCCTAAGTCAGATGCCTCGTTGCCACTGGGGTCCGACAAAAGCCTCTCGCACTACCAGTGTGGAAGGCTGCCGACATACGAAGGACAGCTTTGTCCAAGGATTGCGTTGGTGGTCTTTCTGCAGCTGCTTTAGGGATTTTACACCACTGGCTTCGTCCCGTTCTCTGTCGAGGTCTCCATTTACCATTCAGGATGGCTCGGGTGAGTGGACCTCGTCTGAGAGCAACAGACGTACCCCCAAAATGGATCCTGAGGTGTCCAGCGCTACTGCATTTGGCTAACTACGACCACTGTTTGCACAGCATCAGGAATCATTCTTGGCAAAAGCGGCGATATCGTGATATACTCCGCGCCGCGGCGGCTCGTCACCTTCGAGTGAGCAAGTTCACTAGCTGGATAGCTAGCTAGCCGCAAGTGAGTGGCGTGACACGGGCTGCCTGACCCCTGATTGAACGGCACGTCTCGTGCCCAAAAGCGAGCCATTACCATCGCCCTTACCTCTCGACACGACACCCGGCTGGTGTTTGTACGTCAATGGATCATGGTTCAACAGTTCCGAAGGCAGCTCCAGATTTCGTGGCATGCGACCGAATTGGCATCTTGCGTCGGCTCTGCAGTTGCTATGGATGTGAATTCGATAGCCGCAGTGCTCTCGAGCCAACGGGTGGATGTTCATTCGCGTCATGCCTCGGCAGTGTATCTCCTAACTCAATAGGTATACAAAGATTGTCCCAAGCGTGAGCTCTGGCATCGGAAGTAATCCATCGCGAGATTGTTCAGGACGTCACATTCAAACCGGTGGATCCAGTCCAGCAGCCAAAATAGAAGTACGCAGCGGGAATTTTCTGTGTCACGGACGTCTGGCTCCGTTCACGTGCTTATCTCTGACGATGCACTGGTTCAGCAAGATGCAGGCCTGCTTTGTATGCAGCTGTACTGAAGTTCTGGCAACTGAACTGCGTGGACCGAGTCGGTAAGCCAACGTGGTATTACCCATTACAGTACCAAGAGCCAAGAGACGACTCCCTGGGGCTAATAGCGAGACATCAGAAACCTTCTTCTTTGTCGTTCAGCAGGCTGCATGACGTTTAGTGCGAAAGGAACGGTGGCGGGAGCGTGTGCCCAGCTTCACCAGGGTCGCCAACGCGTGCGAAGAGGGATGTCTCGGAGATGCGAGGCTAACGCACAATAGGCACATCGATTCGAGCTGGCCGTCTCCATGCCCTTTCCTATGGGGGAATTGTCAAGGTAGCAACAGGCAACAGGAGAGTACGGAGTCGGGTCGTTGGATCCACCGCGACAGGGATGAATCTGGCTTGAGCAGATGAACGATTCATTGCGGACTTGTAGTGGCTGGAAGCGAGGCCCGAGGCGGTTGACGACATCGACTGCTGGATCCACGGCCACGAGCACCCTGCGTCAGGGTGAAACAGACGCCGATGCTGCAACGCAGAAGGCGACGATGGGTGTAGGCCTGGCTTGCACGGGCTCTCAGCTGGACGGGGTGAGCTTATCGGGAGATAGCGAAGCCTGGACAAGCCCCGTTGACAGGAACGGCGAGGCGAGGAGACACGAACAGCCAGCGTCGACGATGCAGGGTCCAGGACGTGATGACAGCGACCTAGATTGGGAGGGACGGGAGAAACTCAAAACAGAGTGCCTCGGACGAGTGCCGGGCAGCCAACCAGAGGGCGGAAGATGCCGTACCAAGTGGTGCGCTGCATTTGGTGTGGTGGCATTGCGGGTGGGCGGCCTTCGCTCACGGCACAGGGACGACAACATGGCGCCATCCGGTACTTGCCAGCGGCCAATCGCATTTCACGGCCAATCGCATCCACTTGCCAGGCGTCGACTCTGACGACGAGGGATTGAATCCTTTGCAGTTGCTCGCCTTGTCCTGCCTGGCCGCCCGAGGGCGAGGATGGATGGCAAACGACTCAGTTTAGGTGAGCCCACCTCGCCCGCCGATAGTCGCTCGCTAGACATCCGGAGGCGGCCCAGTCCAGTCCATTCCAGTCCGGTCCGGTTCGTGGTACGATCGCCTCCCCACGTCCCGACGATGAGTAGATGGACCGAGATGGATTCGGTGGAGGAGCCGCCGTCGTCGGCTAACGGCTCACAGCCGTTCCGTTTCGTCACCTCCAGGCCCTTCCTGATTGGGAAATTCCCGCGGTAGGACCCGAGATCCGAGACGTCGAAAAGTCCCGGCGCAGGTGCCGACTCGGCCTACCTACACAATGCAGCCGCCACCACGCAAGTGGTCGCTAGCCGCGCCTCCACCCCGTGCAGTACCTCTGGACTTGTCATGTGAAGCTTGGAGATTAGGGATCTCCCACCTGAAGCGTACCGGTCCTCAGCTGACAAGCATCAGGGTCCAGCGGGCTGCACCTGTGCTGTCGACACTGCCCGCAGGCCCGGCCGAGTTGTCGTCGCGAACTCGTCACTGCGGGGGGCAGCTACAGCACCAAGACGCGCATGCCGAGGGTCAGCAAGGTACGTAACGCTTTGTAAGGTAGCTAGCCACGGATTGCTCTGAGCTGGACAACGCATGTCGAGAAAGCACGCCTTGCTGGTTGGCAGGGACACCTGCGCTGGCCGTGGCCGTCTTGTTGTCACGCTTCAAGGACGAGAGCCCCAGAAACATCATCATACGTACCGCACAGATCCTCAAGCCCCGTTTGACCCGTCCAGACGGCGCACGATACGATTGGGACCCGAGTGGTTGGTCCTGTTGGGGACCTGATCGTCGTGACAGCGTGCCCTCGGAGCCGCTGCCAAGTTTAGCGCTCCCTTGCACCCGTTGCACATCAACAGAAAACGCCCGATGGAACAGTATCCGTCTCGTTTCCCTAGGCGGGTCTTGCTCCCTCCTCCCGATACGGCGGAGACAGCGAGCAAACGGGCGACTAACTCGACTGGGAGTCGAGCCCGTCCACCGTCTGGCGGTTTTTCTCCGAAGGCACTGATGCCATGCCTTGGTCGACCAAAAATGGCTCTTCCGGCGATGTGACACAACCCGCTACGAGGGATTTGACCAGACGCCTCGGGAGCTACCGCGCTGCGCTACCGGGTCGTCTATTGAACCCGTGGTGATCATGGCGCCCACGGACCCGAGCCTAGCGTGTCACATTTTCGGCACCAAGCAGATAGGATTGTAGGCCGGTAGGGCTGTCAATCCGGGATAGTGCTTTGCTAGGCCGACGACGGATCACTCTGACAGTTGACTTGTGATGCGTCGCGCGAGTCAGAGCCGGTCCAGTCCGCCATCGCTGCCTTGGAGTGCATCATCCAAAGCATGGATGAGCTTCAGCGCAAGCGTTGTTACCTCGGCTCCGGTGGACGGGCTATGGTATTGGCATCCATGGTCTTATGCCAAGGCCGATGATCGCCTGCGCGTCCGCACGAACCGAGATGTCGTCCCTGGATCCGGAACTCCGCACAGGCCGACCCGACTGAAGATCCTCGATGACAGCCGTGGCACGCCCGGCGATGTAAGCGGACATGGCGGTCGACGATGGTGTCGGCCGCACCGTAATGGCCTGTTGCAGGGATCGAAGTCTGGTACAGCGGGCCTGGCGGCGCTGTGGCGCTCACCTCCCCACACATGATGTGTCGACAGGAACAGGGAGACCCTTGGATTGAAGTGGCCACGGGAACACTTGACAGGCTGTTTCGTTTCTGGGACAAGAAACCAAGCAGGAGAGGCATTCTGTTTGTCATAGTTCGAGGGTGCAAGTCCAGCAGTGTGAAATTTCTACCCTGGCCATGTGAGCCCGTTACGCGTATCTGACTTGCACCCTTCGTATTCCGCCCCCGGACAGCAGGCTCGATTGTTGTTTGTTCTGGAGCCTCAGAGGCCGACCAGAAGAGATCGAGGGTCCAACGTAAATCTCAATGGCAAGGGCAAAACTGGCCCTAAATCGCGTCGGATATTGTAACTGATGAGAATCCCCAAGGAAAATAGCGCCCAAACTGCATGAACGAGCCCTCGACGGCCATCCGTTGAACAGACACGGCGACTCGACACGTGTGATCTCTGTGCTGCCGACTGCGCAAAACACCAGCCAAGTGGCTGCAGTACGACATCAAAGCTCTCCCACTTGGTTCTTGTACTTGTGCAACAGAGTCTTGAATCAAAGTTGATTCATTGGACATGCGAATCCTTCTTCCACCTGCAGAGCCTCCTTGGAAGTGAAAGTTGCGAGGCCTTTTGCCATGCGGCTGGGGATGGATCACGTCCTCTGTCTTTGCGATCTCGCAATACAGCCAAACGTCTTGCAACATGCAGCCTGGCTTATTTGCAGTGCCGCGCCGCGTACCCAGTATCAACGCTCACTCTGGACGGATGGCTGGCTTTCGAGGGTAAATCTCATCTTCAAACCTGCGACTTCGTCGAGCTGCCGAGGGGTCGAGAAGTGCAGGGGGGCCGTGGCAGGTCGCCAATCTCCAATCTCATTGAGATTGACTCAAGTCTGGTGACATGCGCGACGGCGCGAGAGACTCAGGTCAATCAATCGGTAGATTGATTGAACCAATGTTCCCTGGTCGTTCACTGACGTGCATGCAGTTGATGGCCCCTGTTGCGCTGAATGACGGCGAGGCGAGGACATGCGGTGCGACATATGGCCGCAACCACCTAGCAGCGATCGGGGACAATGGGCTGGTCTCATCGGCCATTGGGCTTCAGAGTCTCTGGGTGCGAGAACACAAAAGCCCTCTCAACGTCCCGATGGACCGACCGGTGGTGGTTACACGACACGAGACAAGCCTCGCGTCTCACCTGTCAACAGATCGGGAGCCGTCGCGCGCGCGGCGTGTCACAAGTCACGTCCCGTATGCATGGCTTGGCGAATTGCAATCGCAGGATTATTGTCTGCCAAGGGCTGCCTGCGCGGCCCCCGTGGACGAAGTCGTGTCAAGCCATTCGTCCCCGTACCAAAAGGGGCAGCGCCTCAACTGTCGAGCGGAAGAGCCCCTGCTTACACGACCTAGATTCGGACATGCCCCCTGACCAGAGCCGCAATACTTTGTGTATCGTGGCCTTTCTTCGAAACGGCACATTTTCCCCAGTCTCGCGTCCGCAGGACGTCGACTGGGTCCCATGCACTACGTCGGCTGGGCGCGACGCACTTCATCCCGACAACAACTGCTCGGGCGGTTGTGTTGGACGAGGCTGATGACATTGAAAGCGACTGACTCGCCGTTGTGGTATCTACAGGTCGTATGTACCTTGTTGACATGTATCCATGGCGTACGTCCCTGCGCGGCAGCACTGCAAGAAGCCCGTTGAGGCAAGTTCTATAATGCCAAAACACTCGTGGTTCTCGCGGCGCGGCTGATACGCGACGTTCACACAAGCTTCTTGCATTCTGAAGGAAGTATGGACTCATTCCAGAAGGTCGAGCGAAGCTGAATTGTTTGAAGTACCCCCTATTTGTTCCCTGACTTCGCGACTTGTACGCTGACCGGCCTCAGGGATAGCCCATGGCGCTTTCGATCTACGAGATGGTGCTTCGAAATGCTGGTGGAAGAGGCTTCAGGGGAAGAACAACGCCTGCTTACAGGTGCCGCGCATGCACAGGGCTTCTCAGTACGAACACGCCGTCGCATCGCTGAGCTGATGAGCACGGTCTAGAAGAGCATCGACGGTGGCACGACCTCGCCGACAACATGGCGGTCGACCGGGTTGGCCACGAGTCGTGCTTGCCCGTCCTGCGCCTGGAGTGGCCAGTTGCGAAGGACCCCCGATGCGATATCCGAGCCTCGCGACGTCTATAGGGCTTCCATTAGCGCAGACTGCATGCGAGGCACAGACTTGAGGCCTCCGGACACCACTCTCCATCCCCAGGGGTATGCATCGCGTCTGCTCTTCTCCGCGGGGGATGTCAATTCCCTCCACGCCAATGATAGTTCAGCGCTTCAAGATATGGCGGGGAAAGGGCGTGCATCCGGCGTGCGCTTGACTCGCACCGGCCTGGGCAAAGCCGTCACTGACAGGACACGGATGTCCGGGGCCGTGTCAGGTCGGACTATCTTGCGCGACTCACCGAACAATACACGAGATTGCGTCCTGCCAAGTTTGAAGTTCGCCGCGGACATGCTCGGACGTTCGCCAAGAATACTATTGGACAGGGTCGTTATAGCCCGGAAGCGTTGCCGTGAGCCAGGAGACGGGGAGGCGTTTGAGACGGGCTAATATCAGTCAAGCATACAGCTTCGCGGAGGGCGGGCCGGAACAGCCGTCCTGTAAGTATTGAATAGTCATCACTCTCCTGAAACGGTGCACTGATGGACGATGATAGACTAGGCATCGTACGCCCTCCCCCCTGCCGGTCTTGGGGAGGCGTGCCTGCAGGAACGTGTCGAATATCATGGGAGATGGGGTTGAAGGCGGCAGACGGGCTCGGTTCAAGACCATGGGTACCGCTTGCTCGGTACAAAGAAGCCAGCGCATGCGCGCCCCTCGCTGATACGTGCTCATGCGCCGAGAGCTAGAAACAAGACCGGAGATGCTACCAGGCTGGCGGGCCGGAAGCAGGTCTGGTCTGGTGTGTTGGCTGCGCCGTGGAGCACATGCAAGATACAGCATGCACTCCTGCATGCATGCATGCAGGGTTGGTGTATGGGAGTTGGCGACGAGTCTCGTCGCGGCATCTCATCGACCCGGGAAGGGCTTCCGGACGATACGCATGCGTGCGCGTGGCAGTTGCCGCCGGCTGCGTCCCTTTGCCACCCCTTACCCGTCTCCCCTTGCTTCCCCTCAACAGCAGGCGTTGGTGGGATACCGACAGAGTGTATTAGATTCCACGGCGCAACGTGGGTGGTTGATGGTGGTGGTCATGATGCGCTGACCAGGGTGTGCTCCCCGTTGAAGCCGTTGGAGGAAGAGGGGATCATGAGGAGGAGGAGGAGGGGTTGAGCACAGCCAGCCGCGCCCCCTTGCTGCACCTGCGGGCACGCGCGCATGAGGTTGATATCACCCGTCGGAGAAGGGCTGTCTCGCCAGCCTAACCAAACCCTGCCGAGGCACACGCCCTGATCAGCGCGGCAGATGCCGTGGCGCGGCGCGGCGGCCAGGTTTCGAGAGAAGCGCCGAAATGGCGTCTGCGCTTTTCTTCTTTATGCGGCAGGTGTTGCATTTTGCTGCAGCGCAATACGTCATGACACGCCAAATAATGGCAGTTGTTGTCTTGCGCGTTGCGGGGGAGCTGAACATCCTCTTGGTGGCGCGAACACCTCGATCTGCAATATTGCGCTGATACTGACGACTGCAGGCATGCAGTGCAGGAAACGCCATTGAAAGAAGAAAGCAGAAGAGAAGGGGAAAGAGAGAGCAGGACGTTCTTCTGCAGTGGATGTTGGGTTGGTGTCCTGGTTGCTGGAATCTGTAAGTGCCGTGGCCGAGCGAGCAACGCCGGCACTTGCGCGGCCCTCGCAAGACGTCCACGAAACCGGCCCTGTTTCCGAAAGACTGTTGGCTCCTTTGTCTTTCCTTTGCCGCTTTTCGCGGAAACAAGGCCTACCGAGTATGGCCCTGGGCGTTGGGGCTCACCCATGGCTCCCCCGTACCTGCCGCTGTCTATCACAAGCGCAACTTGCACGTTGCAGCTTGCACGGACTACGGAGTGTAGAGCACATGACTGCCTTGTTTGACGGATGATGAGACGCTTGCGCAGACGCACGCAACCATGGGGCGGCCGCAATTGGGTCGACAAAAAGGCCTTCCTGTTTTGTTTGATTCAGTACCTACGTTACTTCGCACAAAGTACCTACATACCTACCCATGCGCCGCCGAGGCGAGCATTATACCTCAACACGAGCGGGTGCGGCGGCGGGGAATAGGCGCACGAAAGAAAGAGCAGAACCAGCGTACAGTAATACTCGCGCACGACAAGAAAATGAGATGTGATGGATGGGAGTTTCAACGGCGGAAAACGCCATTACCAGGGTTGAGACTGGGGGGCAAGGTACGTATGTAGGGGTGGCGCGGCACCTAGACAAAAAGCAAGCAAGCAGTCAATATAAGATCCTAACCTAAACCTCTTTGGCAGGGCTGAGAATCAATCAATCCAAAAACAAGCGACGGTCCGAGGCTAAGAAGCCCGAGGACTGGGAGGAGGAGGAGGAACTGGCAAGCCACGTTGGCGGGCGAGGCTGACTGCAAGAGACAGAAGGGGGAACGGCGTGACTGAAGTCTCGCGAGGACGTCAGGTTTGAAGCGTTCGCGACGATGCGCGTTGCGTCTGATGTCTGCGGCCGCCAAGCCTCTCACCTCCCTGATTGACGGTAGGCCGATATCCACCGCCCTGCAGGAGGGGGCAGCCTTAATTGCCAAGTTACGTAGCATAGTTGGCCGCTGTCCAGCCCATCTCGACTAGTATCAGTTGACGTCCCTGTTTGCAAGCACTCACTACCTGCCGAGGGCGTGTTGTACGAGTAGCTTAGAGGGACAGACAACCTGCGGCACTCTCCTCGGCAGTCACCCGCCCGCGCCACGGGTAGCGCGACCGCAAACCACGGGAAGAAGAATGCTGGTTTGGCGACAAGGCACAAAGACGTCACCGTTACCAGGACAGGGGCGCGGCGGCGGCCGAGATGCCATCATGCCGTGCCACAGCCACCACGACGGATGGGAGATGCGCCCATGCGCGTGCGTCGTTGGCCGGGGGTGACCAAGTCGACGAAAGTCAAAATACACTCACTCTCTGTCAAACATGAGAGCCATGGGAGTGTGTGTGTATGTTGCACGTCAACAACGGGGGACGAACCTCCTCGACAGACGGTCCGCTGCGGAACCGAACCGAACCGAGCCGCACCGCGCCGCGCCGCACTACATAATACATACACCAGGGGGTTTTGCCCATGTTGTGCCACGCACGCACGGACGGGCCTTGGTTATTGATGAGGCAGATCTGCTGGGTTGTCCTTGGTAGTCAGTCTACTCCGTAGTCTGTGCTCTGATGCCTGTACGGACTACTAATTAGTTACAGCAACTGCACTGACGATGTCTGTGGTAGCCGGGCCGGCATTCTGGGCCCAGCAGGATTTTGGCCGCTGTCGATGGCATCACGCTTCAGACACCCGCAAGGGTCTGTCACTCTGTCCATCGGATGCCCCTTGTTGTACGAAGTTGGTTGCTGAAGTTCCCGGGGCAGACCTTGAGCAGCTGCGCGCGTACCTCATACAGAGCACTACGGGGTAATACATGTAAGTGGGCTATTCGGCCTGGCCCACGGCGCATCTTGCTCCACCGGAGACGCTCATCTCCCCCCAGCCGTGCGCCCCATCGCGAACGGCCTCGATCGGAGATTATGGGGCTTTCTCTCCGTCCCTCGCCGTGTCCTCGACCACGAGCAGGTTGGCCTACTGTTTGCGTACCGATATCGCGGTCAAATATTTTGTTATCTGAAGCAGCGGAGAGAGTCACTGAGTCTGAGCGCGCAGACACAGCTCGCCCAACAGCAACAGCAACAGCGGCCGCATCAGCATGGTTCAATGATGGAGACGAGACAAGACCCAAGGGACCCAAGGCAATCGACGCTCCACGGCCCGCCAACGCCCCTCCCCCGGGCGAACAGTGGATGCGAAATCCCCCCTCCGCCCCCCGCCCTCAGGACCGTTTCGGCCCAGATGGATGCGCCCCGTAACCTTGCCATCGTGTCGTTATCGTGTCGTGTCATGTCCTGTGTTTCCTCTGGCGAGCAGGACGAGCCTGCCTTCCTTCCGTCAAGCCGAGACGAATAGGACGCCCGAACGGTTCCCGTAGTCCGTACGCCCCTCCGCCAGCCCGCCCCCAGTCTGGTGGCAAAGATGGCGGCTGCGAGCTGTCACATCTGACAGGTGCGGGCCGGCTGGCTGCCTTAAGTGATTTTTTTGCTTCCCCGTTCGTTTCTTCTTTCTTGCCAGCGCCCCCCCCCCCCCCTTTTCGCCCGCCCACCTTACCCCAAAAAGCGTTCTTTCTTGTTGTTGTCCTGGCTCTGTTGACGATGCTGCAGGGTACAGAGGCTAGGAGAGGCAAGGGGAAGAGAGACGATGGAGGATGGGAGGGGGACTTTTGCATCGAGTACCCCCGGCAAGTACCGCTTGTACCTGGCAGATGGACGGGTACGGTGACGCCCCATCGCATATGCGCGCGTACGGTAGATGCAGCGCAGCCCCGGGGATCAAGGGCAACGGCATCCGAAGCGATACTTCATATTTTTTTCTTTCTTTCTTTGGCTGTCCCATGCCGTGTCTTCGTCCCTTGGCGGGGTGCGGGGCTACTACTACTGTACGAGCTGTTCTGTGTATTAACCTGAGTGCTGCAACGTACACGGGACAACGAGGGAGGAGACAAGAGGATGAGCGGGTGCGCGCGTCACGAAAGGAAAGAAAGGGGAGATAAAAAGCAACGACTCGACGGCGTAAGTAGGTAGGTACCTCGTCGGGTGGTCACATCTACTCCTTCGCACACCCCGTCCATCTTCAAAGATCTTCGGGTCAGCATTCGCGCCATCCTGTACCACGCGGGCGGGTTGAAAACGCATGGGAGGAGAAAGACTAGGCGTGGCGTGCGTATGGGATGGGCATGGGCATGGGCGATGGGGGTTTGGCGGCTACGGTGTGGTGCATCCGCGATATGAGCCCGACCAAGAGCCGGAACATGGGACGGCCATGGTGACACTAACCGTCAATTGGCACCAGCCCCAGCCCGCATCCGAGCCGCATCGCAATCGCCATCACATCGCGCGCCGGGTCCTCATCTCGTCTCTGGCCCTCGTGGAGCATCGCCGTTCTCGCTGCGAATCGATCCTCCCCCGTGGGCGCAGCCAAGCCCGCATCATCACCATCGTGCGACCTCGCCAGCCGCCCGCCCGTCCAAGGGCCCGGCCCGATCCTACGTAGCTACATGCTTCGTACTCACGTCGTAACTTGGTCCCGTGGATGTTGTCCCTTGGCCAAAAGTCTGGCTCAACCTGTCCCCGGCCCGGAGCCGCCGGGCGGGCGAACCGAACACAGCCCCCCTGGTCCCTGACATGCCGAGAAACGAGCCCTGGTGCGCGGACGAATACCCCTCTATCCGTACTCGTAGACGAACGAACGACGATGCGTGCCGCCCACAACGTGGTGCTGGACGGCCTGGATGCAGGAGGCGTTTTGACAGACGGGGGGCTTGCCGCATCCAAACTCTCGTCGACTTTGGGTCGCGGACCGCCGGCTGCGCGAACCCGCATGTGCCTGAGCCTGCGCCTATACCCAACACACATAGGCCAAGGTAGCAGCGTCTCGGCACTTCGTACATACGTACCTGATCCGAGGCATTGTTGGTACGGGCCGGGTAGCATCGCGTACTGAGCGCTGCCGGCCTCGACACACTCTCCTGGGCCCATGCTTGCTGCGTACGCATTGCATCAGGTGACAGGCAGGCCTGCCTGGTATCCGACGCCCATCAGCTATGTAACGACAAGTGAGCCAGCAAGCACGCGATAGCAAGGCACCAAAAGGGGGACCAAAAAGGGGGCGAGTCATTGTGCGTGACCCGACGAGCAGGAACAGTCCTGTCTCGCGGTCCGCAACCGCTGAATTTCTTGCGGCCGTCCGTTCCAAGATACATGTGTCCGCCAATCGTAGCTAGAATATCATATGGTCGTCAACACGAATTCCTCAGGCAGGTTGAGCCGTCTGATGAATTCGGCTGCTGCATAGACCTCTACCATGAACTCGTTCCTCTTCACACGTGCCATTGTATGCTGTATTAGGCCCAAGGGAAAGACGTTTCCTTGAAGGCTTCTCGCTCCGTAAATGCAAGCAAATATGCAGAATCACTGCCCCTCCTCTAATGTTTTGAGCTCCTTTTCTGACTCGGGAGTAGTTGCCGCTCGTGTTTGCTCTCCGCTGGCCGACTCTGCAGTCGTCAGGCCCTTGCGAATTGCCAGAACGCTGTCGACGATGACGGCGTCGATGCCCTCCTTGACTTGTCGCTGCAAAATGTTAGCTTCGAAATCCAACTGGTGTACGGACAGCACGAAAACCTACCTGTACCATGGCTGGGTCGTTGTTGAGTACGCCATAGCTGACGCACACCAACCCCAACTCCTTGACCACTTTGACCAAGCGTGGACTGTTGATGAGTGGCTCTGCCGCCGACACAATTCCCAGCAAGTTCCACCGGCTGGCGAACCGAATTGCCTCCTGCAGTGAAGAAGCTCGGATGTCGCCGACCGGGCTGCACCCGGCGTCCGTGAGGAAGAGAATCGGTATCGAAGGCTGCTTAAAGCTGAGGCACAGGCAAATGTCTGGGTTGAAGGAGCTGAGGATGATGTGTCGTTCTCCGGCCAGGTCGTAGACCTTGGACAGCACCGTGTCGCAGAACGAGTTGAGCTCGACTGCGTACGTGTCCATCTCGTGCTCCTCGCTCTCGTGCAGCATGGGGTACTTCATCTCAATGTTGAAGCCAATCTCCTCGGGCAGCTTGCGGAACAGATCCTCCAGAGTCGCAAACGGAGCCTGGATGAAGTTGCCGCGCGAGTTGGCCTTGTAGCCCTTCTCCTTGAAGTCGCGAGTGTGCTTCATGCGCTCCTCCATCTCCGCGTGCCCGGTCCCGGCGTAGCCCATGGACAGCGACCGCTTAGGCGTGAAGCTGTGGCTTCGCGGCCGGGGTGAGCCGCCTCGTCCATTCGCAACCTTGGGTCCGTTTTGGTGGATTCTATCCCTCCCCTTATCGGGATTGATGTGCAGGAACTGCTCCAGGGTGAGCGTGTGGACGGGGGCGTCGATACCCGTCTCGCTGACGAGGAAGTCGTGGTAGATGACAGGCACGTGGTCCTTGGTAAGTTGCACGTCGAATTCGACGTACTGGGCACCTAGGTTGGCTGCTGCGATGAAGGACGGCAGCGTATTCTCGCCGAGCTGCAGGGACTTGTTGGAGGTAAGGTTCTTGCCCAGTCCTCTGTGGCCGATGAGCATCGTCGACGACATCTTCTTCCAGTACGTCTGCCGCGACGTAATTTCCATGTTGGGATGGTGGAAGGGTGTAATGACGACGTAATTGAAGTTGACGGTGCCGATGACGTCGAGGTTGCCCGACATGATGGGCACACAGACGTCGCCCTGGAGATTCATCCGTTGGGTGCCCAAGGTCGGCTTGATAGATGACAGTAGCGCCACGGCGCGACCGATCTTGTTCTTCCCGCTTCCTCCAGAGTACGTCGGGACGATGTCAAAGAGTAGTTTAACGTTGGTGGCATCCTGCGTCGTGAAGACGACAGGCTCCGTCGCGATGCTCTCGTGGACCGGCAGGTCTACCACGGTCGCCTCGCCAACAGCCCCATTGGCGCTGATGACAACGGAAAGCGCCGTGTCGAGCTGCGTGTTATGTGCCTCATTGAGAGGAACACGGTCCAGGTGGACGGCATCCGTCGTCTTGCGAATGTCCATCGACCCGAGACTGACAAGCACCAGGCTTTCGTTTGTCAAATAGCGGTGACCGAAACTCTTGACAGGCTCAGCCGGCCGAGGCCCGCTGTTAGCGTTTGCTCCGTTAGAACGTCGCTCGTCGATGGAAGAGTTCTCGGGCGAGTTGCCGGACGGCTGCATCCCGGCAGCAACACGCGAAGCAGCTTCCTCCTCGTCCGTATGCGCGGCAAGCAGTCGCGCAATATCCATGTGGCCACGGAGTGCCGCATGCTCCTTTGCAGTCCAGCCGGAAGCGTCCGGACGAGACACATCGGCGCCACTATCGATCAGGAGCTGCACGACAGTGATGGAACCGTCGACGGCAGCAACATGCAGAGGTGTCCATGAGTACGAGTTCTCGGCAATCTCGAGATCGGCCTTTTGAGATTCGCTCCCGTTGACAATGATCCGAGCGCAGCCCACATGATTGAACCGGGCAGCGACGTGCAGCGCCGTCTCGCCCGTCTTGTCGGTCCAGTTGATGTCGACGCCTGCCTTGACAAGCATCTCGACAATGGGCTCGTAGTTCGATTTTGTGGCCAACGCCAGCACCGCGCCAGATTTGGGCACCGTCTTCCGGAGCTGTACCTTGGCTTCGCTGCTTCCTTGCCAGTTCTCGCCCTGGAGCAGAGCCTGCGTGGTCAAGGGATGTCCCCCGATGACGCTGAGATGCAGGGGCGCAAAGCCCTCGCTGTCTTGCCACTCGGGTGCGTCAATGCCGTCTTTGGAATCAAACTGGTTCCAATCTTGCATCTTCTTCATGATGATCTGGCAGATGATGACGAACCCGAATTGGGCAGCATAGTGCAGAGGCAGGCGACCGAACGAATCCCGGCTCTTGAGCGCGATCCTCTGATCAGGGCTGAGCTGGTCCAACAGGAAGATCAGCAGCTGCACCGCCTCATCGTCCTTGCTCAAGAGATTAGACTCTTTGGTGTTGATGGCCTTGACGGGGACGGTAGACGAAACCGCCGGCTGCAAGTGCTTGTTGGTGAAGTGAGACCCGACGGGCACGGGATATGCGCTAACGCTATCGTCGTCCTGAGGCGAGGACTTGGTCCTTCCAATGTGAATGACGAGGCGGTGAATGCAGTTGCGGCCATTGATGTCGTCCGGCTCGTCGAGGCTCTTCAGCTGCGACAAAAGATGCGTAATGCACTTCCGCGAACGGGCCGAGATGGAGCGTTGAAGCAAGTTGAGCAGCAGGCTTTGCCTCTGCAGCTCTGACCCAATCGTTGACTCAGTAAGACCAGCCTTCAGCGCCTCGACTTCATCGCTGCGGACTGCCTGATCAAGCACGTCAAGCTGAGCCTGGGGGAGATTCAGCATAGCCTTTGCGGAGGCTCGTCCCAGGGACCGAGTGGAACGATCCGACCTGGAGTCGTCCGTGTTCTGGGAGTCACCAAGGACGGACAGCCAGCGGTTGATGTCATTCAGCAGCCTCGAGATGTTGCCGTCCTTTGCAAACGGCTTGGGGTCGACTTTGGTGGAGATGTAGCTGTGCTGGGACGAGATGCCGGGGACTTTCTTGTCTAGCTTCTTGGTGATCTTGACGAAGCCTCTGCGGTTAATCTCGCCGAACCATTGGAGGTTCCTGAACTGTGCTCGGAGCTCGAGCAGAGCTCCCATGACTTCCTCCACCTCATCCTGGTCGAGAGTAGCTACAACATCAGGGACGCTGCCGTAGCGGTTGTGAAGAAGGTTGAGGCGACGGCACGCCTCAGCATACTTTTTGTTGTAAAAAGAGTCGACATCCTCGAGATTGCGGTCGAGGGCAAAGAACAGTTCTGCAGGGTTGAGTTAGGGGATCAGGGTCCAGCCCCTAGGGGATGTTGACGAGATGCGGTCAACAGGGGGTTCCGCCCACCTGCTGGGTCCACTGCCTCTCCATTACGAGCCTTCTCAGCAGCGGCCTTGACGAGCTTCTTGAGGCCTTTGTAGTTGATGTAAGAAGAAGCCCACTCGGGGACCTGGTTGCGCGGGAGACTTTGGGGGAACGCGTGTCAACAATGTCACCTATTCGCGACGAAAACGGTTCTCGGGCAAGAGAGAAACTCACTTCCGTCCAAACTTCATGGTGCAGGTGCACTGGCCCTGGGGTGTTTGTGGGGGCCAAACGATAAGAGATTGAGTCGTGCGGCGACAGCAACCAAGAGCGCGCTGAGGCGAGACGAGGTGCCTCTACGCCGCCGACGAACCGGTAAGGGAAAGCAAAGGGAAAGGGGATGAGCCGGCACCGATCAAAACAACGGAGGAGCGACGATGATAAAGGGCGGTAGGGCGGCGAGGTCGCGTGATCCGTTTTTGTGTGTCCGAGTTCCCCAGGTTGATTGCCGTCCAGACCGGGCTGTCGTCCGTCGGTACCGGTAGCCGCGCCTAGCGACCAGTGTCCAGGCAGGTAGCTTTACCGAGCGAGAGAGCCCTAGTCGGCGCCAATGAAAGTATCGTGAGACCGTGCCAGAGCCACAGTGGCAGCAGCGCAGACGGTCGCAAGGGGGGGCTCGGCGGGCGGCGGGTTTGCCTCTTCGTTGTTGGGTGCTTTTGCGACGCGGTGCGCCTGCGCGGAGCTCAGGGCAACGAGGATGGACACATTGTCGGCAAATGTATCCGCGCGCGAAGCGTCCACTTTTTTCTCCTCCTCGTGACGATGACGGATCCGAAGAGATTTTCGGGGTGAGAGGCAGAGCTGATGAGTGCTGGCGACGAAACCGAGAGAAAGCCGCCGTGTCAGAATCCATGTGGGGAAGGCCGAGTCATCTCGCGAGAGCCGGGGTGGAGGTTGAGTCGGGGCTGGGGCGTGCGCCTAATAATAATCGCAGGCCACTGTGCGGGCACTCTTTGCAGGCGGACACAGTCTGCGCCAGCTCGACGCACGTGCTGTAGCGTATTGTAGCGCATGGCTAAGGCGCTGTAATGCGCTGTAATGACGGCTGCTCTGGGTGCGCTCGCTGAGCTTGTTCAGAACCTTGACGCTCTTACAGTTGGCGGTAGCCAGAACCGTTGGTTCTACCCGCGTCGTCTGCGGCACAGTGCCACCATCCATTTCAGGACAGCTTGGCCGCCCGCTGTCCGGTCCCGTCGGGCTACAGAGTCCGAACACTCGATCAAGTTATCAATCAATCAATCAAGCTTTGAGCTTCCCAGCTTTCCTTGTATGCAAAATGCGTCGCCAAAAGCCAGCGCCTGGCGCACAGTGCATCCCCCCCCGCGTGGCATGTTTCCCCCGTCCTCCATCGTGCCCTTCCCCCTCAGACGAACAATGATGGCGCATTCCTTTCGAACCGTGCCGCTGGTGCCTCCGTCCGCGCCGGCGACTCTGGGCCGGCCATTGGCGACCGTGGACCAGCACCGCTCCGTGACTGGCCCAGACGCCGCGCGCCGCGCGTGCCATCGAGACCGGGCGCCCTCGGCTGCAGTGGCCGTCAAAGCAAATTTACGAGTTAAAGATAAAACGTGAGTGATAATCGTCTGCTGCACGTCTCATTTGCCAATGGCTGGCCGCCTGCCTGTTTGTTTGCCTGCTATTGGCAGCAAGGCAACCTCGCGTGCTGCGCTCGCTGCAACCTCACAGCGTGGCTCGGATGTCGTGCACATGCCCCTTGTATGATTTGCTCCTTGTCAAGGTCATAGATAAACAGGAAAAAATCGCTCGTCGTTCAGTAGTGCCTCTAGAGACATCTTTATACAGTAATGTCGTACTGCACAGTACAGTACATGATATTGTAAACAGTCGGAAAGCTCATGCTCCCACGGCCCACTGGCGCCCATCCGAGTAATAGACTTCGCGCCGGCTCACGGCTGGCCACGCAAGGAGATTCTTCGGTCTGGGTGTCATAGCAAGCCCGTCCGTAGCCTGCCGCCCCCTGTAAGCGACAGCTTCCATCTTCCTCCCGGGTGCATTGCCTCGGACGCCTACACGGCGCGTAGTAGTCGCTGCATTGCCGACGACGACCTCATCTTTCCTGTCTCCATCCTCAAGGCTCAGCTGCTCAAATCTGAGACATTCATCAAGCGCGTCGATCCTTCGAGGGCCGGACAAGCTCCCACTGGCCAGCACTCCGGCCAGATCTTGAGCCAGTTGTTCTGACCGCCGAACAGCCGCAGATCCGATGTGTAAGGCCATGGCGGCACGGAACTCGGGCCCTACTTCTGGGTAAAGAAGCTTGCTCTCGATAGATGCCGTCGTCTTCCTGACGAAGACATATTCTTTCCATAGGCTTTCGGTCTGAAGCAGTCGACTCGCCGAGCGGGCGATGAGCGCGTTGTCCTCGGCGGACTGGTTGTCGGCGATACCACCAGGGCGCGTTGGCGACTCTAGGCAAGACTCCTCCAGCGTCTCGAGGAACCGGCTGAGCTTCGATCCTGACAAATTCAAGTTGGTGAGGAGGTCTTTCGACCATGTCGAACCCGCACCATGCAGGCCACATAGATCCAACAAGGTGTAGATCCTCCTGATCAGATACGAGTTCGTCGTCTCATCGTCGGTCAGAAGAAGCGCCTTCCACTGTTGGTTTGCATGGCTGAATCCGCGTATCAGCCGGACTGCCGCTCTCCAATCCAGGGCCACAATGAGCTCGTCCAGTATTTGCTTGACAACGGACGTGCTCACTGCGACACCGGACCTCATGCATGTGACGAAGAAGGTGGCGGCCTGGTCAAAGAGCCTGAACCGCAGTAGACCGGTGATGACTTCTTCGACAAGAGGACGACTCAAGGGAACATGTTCCCAAACCCAGTCTCCTGTCCGGGTTCGAAGTCTCGTGTCGGCCGCCCACTTGCGCAGAATAGGGCTGTTCTCAACGTCCCCAACGTGTCGTCTCCCAATCTTCGCGCCCGTCTTGGAGTCGGCGCCTGTGAGGCACGCGAGTGCGCGCAGAAATTTGCCATGGTTGTTTGTGGCCTTGTAGTGGTTTAAGATGGCGACAAAGGTGGATGGTGTCGGTCGCAGTAGCCGCTCATGGAAGAAGGAGTTGACCAAGGCGTCGGCGAACGCATGGTACCCTGCCTTGTCGAATGCCACGATCAGGGTGTTGTATGTGTGCATGTCTGGCGGGTGGGCCGACACAAGGAGGTTGTAGCACACCCGACCGATTCTCTCCTTCACTCCAAGCTTCGGATCGTCCATCAAGGACCTCAGTCGTCGGTTGAGCAAGGAGGTATTCTTCTTTGCTCGCCCCGGGTCGATTGACCGGAAGGTGAAGTTGGCGCGGCCCGTTTCCGCCAAATCCCGTGCTTCATCGAACGAAGGGCTCGGCGATGTTCCCTTGTCGATGATTTCTGCTCGGCGAAGGAGCTGCTGCACGAGATGCTCGATGCTCGAGGATTCGTTGAACAGATGTAGATTGTTTCGCGGTTCACGCGACAGAATGGCCTTGTCGGATTCTTCTGCGATGATGGCCCGCTCCAAGCGCTCGTACTCTGTTCGCCGGGATGCTCGCATGGAGGCTTCCGTCGGACAACCGTAGTATTCGCTCTGGAGGCTGGACACCAATTCGGACGCGCTGATTGTGGCTGGCTTGTCGATCTCCTTCATGTACGGCCGGTTGCTGTAGATGCTCTTGAGGCTGCGCCATAGTGCGTCCATCTGCTCAATCGTGAGGTCAGTCGGCCGGAACTCGCGCTTTGGAGCTTCCGAAGCTCCGCGGTCTCGCAGGTCCGACAGTTCCTGTCGCGCCTCATCCAATTGTCGATCCAGCTCCCTTCGGCGATCTTCTTTCCTGACTGCATCGACGACAGCGGCGGTCGCAAACATGGAGCTGTAGCACGCGGTAAAGATTTCGGCAAAGGTCGGCTTGCGACGCCGGGCGGCGGCCGCGGTTCGTCTCCCGGCGGCGCCGACGGCGGTGCTGCAGGTCCTGCATCCGCAGCGGTGAGCCTGGCCTGCGGCCCTAGACCACAGAGACTGCATCACCGCGGCATCTGCAGAGACTGGCGTGGAGGCGACGGTTGTTGGGAATCAATTGGGATGGGCAATGTGGTCGTCGGCATGAGGCCATTCGGTCGGTAATCATGATCAGGCGAGCTCGAGAAAATCCAAGGGCAATTCCGGACCCGATGCGGCTGGTCACGTGATAGCCCAAGCTCCCCTCCCCCACCAAGCAGACAGCTTGTGACACAGGCGATGACGACCGCCTGGTGCTTAATGAGACTTCAACGGAACCGGTCCTCGAGGTCGCTCTAGCAATCTGCTGAGACGTCTTTGCGCTGCAAAATGTTCGCGCTCGAGTTGAAAGCCGAGCTCACGGGGTGAGCATCTGAAGCCCATTCCCCCACTACGGCGACAATTGAAGCTGAGCTCACGCATCCCAGGGTGACAAACCTGCGACCCGACGACAGCCAGGACAACCCATTCTGGTACATGTTCAAGGTCCAATGTACCTCGTGCAGAGAGACGCACAACAACTATGTGGGAGTGAACCGTTTTGTAGGTCGAAGCCACCCTTGCTTGAACCCGGATGGCTGCTCACCCTCCCACCTAGGAGACAAACGAAATGAGCGGCAGCCGCGGCGAGGCCAATTTTGTATGGAAATGCAAAAACTGCAAGGTCAGACTTTCTAGCTCCCCTCCGGTGATCAGAACGCTCACACCTTGCAGCGGGAATCGTCGGCTTCCATCAAGGCTGCCCCAAAGCCGTATGAGCAGGCAGAGCCTGCCAAGGCCCAGCGGCTCATTGAGTTTGACTGCCGCGGACTGGAGTTTGTGGAATTCAAGCCAGAGGTATGCGAAAGCCACCAAAACCTATCCCTAGCTGTTGCGAAGTCCATGGCTACGGGACCGTGATCCATTTCAGAGCAAATGCTAACAAGCGTCACAGGGGGACTGGCTGGCCGAGGGCCTCGAGTCGGGCACCAAGTTCACGGGCATCGAGCTGGTCGACGGCGAATGGTTCGACTACGATGAAAAGGCCGGGGAGGAGGTCAGCATCAAGGACATCACGTGGGAGATTCGCCGAGCCTAGACAATATAATTGCGCTGAGATGAGAAGTGTCCTCGTGACCGTCAGACTCGCCGGTGAATGTTGTGTTGGTGGCGACGGATGAGCGTGTCGAAGCAACAGCACCAAAGGGTTCACACTCACGGTATGTGACCAGCACTAGCCCCACTCCCGGCACTTCGCTAGCCGCACGCCCAGCCCGAGTCAGGCCGCAGACCGCCGTGGGCCTTGCAGTAGCAATCCCATATTTGCATCCATCGCCAAAACTCGCACCCACTCGGAGCGCGCATCACGGCACGCGCGGTCCGCGATGGCATCCTCGGGGCATCAGCAGCAGCTTGCGAGGGATCTCGACTTCCTCACCGATGCGGCGCACCTGTTGCGGGAGACGGCGCCAGACGCGTCGGCGCACTTCATGAGGCATCGAGCAGACCTCATGTTCCACAACAATCTGGACCAGCATGAGCTCCAACGACAGCACGTCTGCTCTGCCTGCGGACACATCATGATTCCTGGGCTCGGGGAGACGACGCTGAGGCTGCAGAGGCTCAAATCCCGCCAGCAGGACTGGAAGAAGCGGTCGACTGGCGCGGCCCGGTCGCGGGTGGAAGAGCCCGCGGCGGCGCAGGGACCATCCAAGGAATTGACATGTGGACGCTGCCATCGCGTCACGAGGGTTACTCTGGGACAACAGCCAGCAGCCGTGCGCGGCCGAGTCGCAAAGGCATCGGCAGCGAAAAGGACGGAGCAGCCGCCAGTTACAGCAGCGTCCGTGAAGGCCACGGCCAATGCCAGCAGCAAGAAGCGAGCCAAGAATCGAAAAGGCGGCCTGCAGGCTCTTCTCGCTGGCCAGCAGAAGCCGGCGCCGTCTCTGTCGTTGGCCGACTTTATGAAGAAGTGAGGTGCCGACCCGGGTCTGTCCTCACAGCTCGACAACCGACAGAAAATCATTTACTACTACTACTTCGACATGCACACCGAGCGAACCTCTGCTGCGGCACAGTCGATGGCACCAGAAGGAGCTCGCGCCACACTGACATCAGGCGTCGGGCTGTCTGTCTGCACACGGAATTGAGCCTGCCGACGGGCAGCGTCGCGAACTTTCTAGCGCACTTCCCCAGACGGACAGGCGGTGGCCGCCCAATGACATAACTTGCCAACGCTGCACTGTTGCCCCTCCAAAAAATTCAGAGCCCCTCCATCCGCATCACCTCCACCAAAAAGACCCTCCCCGCCAGCGCCGCCCGTTTCTTGACGACGCAACCAACATCCGAGATACCCAGAGCACGCAAAACGAACCCGAAAAATGTCTTCCGATCAGCCAAAAGAGGTGGTCAACACCCAGAACCCCGAGCAGTTCTTCGAGTCCATCGGCAGCAAGGTCGAGAACCTCGCGCCAGCGACCAACGGCGAGCCGACCGCCGAGGATGACGAGCGCAAGCCCGTCGAGGAGATTGAGTCTCTGTGCATGAACTGCGGAGAGAATGTACGTCTTGATGAAGCCTATTGAAAAGGTTATGTGCCGTTTGCTGTAGCAATATGCTAACACAGACTAGGGCGTCACCCGGCTGCTCCTCACCGCGATCCCGTACTTCCGCGAAGTCGTCATCATGTCTTTCTCCTGCGAACACTGCAATACCCAAAACAACGAGATCCAGGCCGCTGGAACTGTTCAACCGCGCGGCACGCACTACGAGCTGCGGTTGACTGACCTCGCCGACTTCAGCCGGCAGGTCGTCAAGTCCGACACCGCCGTCGTCAAGTTCATCGAGCTGGACCTCGAGATCCCGGCGGGCCGCGGCCAGCTTACAAATGTCGAGGGCCTGCTGACGACTGTCATGGACGACCTGGAGCTGGGGCAGGAGGCGCGCAAGGAGCAGATGCCCGAGGTGTACCCCAAGGTGGCCGAGATCATCGCCAAGGGCCGCGCCATGCTCGCTGGCGAGGCGTTCCCGTTCCGCGTGTACGTCGACGACCCGGCTGGCAATTCCTTCATCGCGCCGGACCTCAAGGACGGAGTGGGCAAGTGGGAGAAGCGCGAGTTTGTGCGTACGCCGGAGCAGAACGCCGCTCTCGGCCTCGCCGACAGCGCTGGCGCAGCCGGCCTGTCCAACCCGGGCCTCACCGCCGACGGCGAGATCATCCCCAACGAGGTCTACAGCTTCCCCGCGTCGTGCCCCGGCTGCATGCACCCCTGCACCACGCACATGAAGATGGTGGACATCCCCCACTTCAAGCAGGTCGTGCTCATGTCCACCGTCTGCGACGACTGCGGCTACCGCTCCAACGACGTCAAGACGGGCGGCGAGATCCCCGAGCTCGGCGAGAAGATCACCCTGACGGTCGAGGACTCGACGGACTTGGCGCGCGACATCCTCAAGAGCGAGACCTGCGGCCTCGAGTGCCCGGAGCTCAAGCTCCAGGTCAACCCCGGCACCCTTGGTGGCCGCTTCACCACCGTCGAGGGTCTCCTCACCCAGGTCCGCGACGACCTGCGCAGCCAAATCTTCGAAGCCAACGGCGCCCCGGGCCAGCAGCCCAATGCCGGTGGCGGCGACTCCCTCAGCGCCGACGAAAAGGCCCAGTGGGACGACTTCTTCGGCGGCCTCGACGACGCCATCGCCGGCCGTCGGCCCTTCACCGTCATCCTTACCGACCCCTTTGCCAGCAGTTTCGTGCAGCCCAACACGGACGACCCCAACGCCGACCCCAAGATCAAGAAGGGGACGTACGAGCGCACTGAGGAAGAGGAGGAGGAGCTGGGCCTCAGGGACATGAAGACGGAGGGGTACGAGGACCCTGCCAAGGCGGAGGCGGATGCTGAAGTGCCGGCACAATGATGTGGAGAAGTCGTAGACACTGGCGTTGAGAGAGGGGAAGAGTATGCATGCATATACACACATATACATGAGGGCCATGTTGGGCGTTTTGTGGACGGGTATATTTGACGGGTCATGATGTCGAAGCGGATAGAGAAAAGAATGAATAAAGATTAAGCGCGAATCGTTTCAGTCAAACTGTTTCTACACTCACTGAAATGCGTACCTGGGCACATCTCGTTTACAAAAGACACTTTTAACTGTCACCTAGGATCGTAGAGCGAGTCCATACAGACAGGTTCAAATTAAAACTCAAACACGAAAAACTACCGGGTATAAGTACCGTGGTCCGTCTCCCGTAACTCCATTCTCCATGTCATCGCGCCAGCAAGCCCAAGGCGTTCTCGCCCGTCCGTTACCATGGGGGTTTCCCTTTCCGCATAACATTTCTCGAAACCAACGGCACCCACACGGTTACCGTCGCGTAAAAATTATCCCGTCAGAGCAAACAACCATGCCCACAAAGAAGGGTGAGTCGAGGACCAAAAAAATCCAGCAAGCCGGTGGCAGAACCCTCCCCGTATCTCCACCGTGTGCTCGAGCGGTAAGATGATATTAAAAGACCCGAAAATCCAGACGCAAAAAGGCGGCGCGAGCATTTGTTCCAGTCTAGTTTCGCAAAGAAATCCCTCCCGTCTGTACCGTACCGTCGCAATAGCATTGAAACATGATCGAGGCTGACGAGACAAGGAAATGCCGAATCCATCTCGGCAGCTTCGCAATACCGCACGGGGTGCGACTGCGACAATTAAAAGAATGACGGCTTGGTGAGGACACGATATTCGACGTAGTCCTCGCCGTCAATGTTGATGATGGTGCCCTGCGAAACGAGCTTGCCGACAAACGGACCGGTGGGTTTGCGCTCGTACTTAACACCGTCGTAGAACTTGGCCTCCTCTGCGCCGGCCTTGACGCGCAGTGTCTCCTGGCGCTCCCACAGATCATTGAGCCGCTGCACATCGTCAGACTCGTGAAACAGGACGCGGCCATTGGTCATCGGCACTGGTGTCGCAGCAGCGGCGGCAGCAGCGGCGGCAGCCGTGGTGGCATCTGCGGCCGCTGCGGCTGCCGCGGCACGCTCTCGGTTCGTCGCGTGACGGTCGGCGCGAACCTGGGCGGCCTCTGCTCTCGCGAGCTCACGGCGCGCCATGGCGTTGGTTCGCTCGAGGGCGACCGCGTTGCCGCCGGCCTGGGCTCGCTGCTGAGTCGATCGGAGATCATTCTCGTTGAGGGAGTGGCGGAGGTTGCGACCGTCGGGCCGGGGTTCGATCCTGCGAGACTGACGCAGCTCATGACCGCCATAGCCAGACTTGGATGTCGCCTCGCTCTCTGTGGCCGCGGACGCAACGGTGCTGAAGCTCGGCGCGTTGCTGGGAAGTTTGAGGCCGCTTCCGGCACGGGCCTGTGCCTCAACGACCGCCTTGGTCTCGTTTTCAGCTCTCTGGTCCGGTGTTTCGGCCTTGCCCAACAGCTGATCTAGCTGATACTGTCGGACGCGGCAGTATTCCTTGATCTCAGCGCGTTGGAGACCCTTGAGATGGTCGTCGAACTCGACTTCGTCGTACTGGATCCAAAGAGCCCCTGCACCCTGCGGGAAGTTGCCTTCAACGGGGCGACCGTCTCGGGCTTCTCGCACCACCTTGACCCTGAACATGTCGTTCTGGCCGAGAATTCCGTAGACGGCGTGTCGATCTCTGGGATCAGGCTCGCTGGACGGCTTCCAGTATCCGAGAAGGATGCGCGTCGGCCGGGTTCCGGGTAAAGGGTCAACTGAGAATCGAGTCTGGTGCGAGGCCATAGACTGAGGCGGAGTCAGAGCTTTGGCCGAGTCCGGGGGAGGCGTGGCAGTGTCCACCGAGTTCGTGTTAATGGCGGCAAAGCCGGTGCTCGTTTTGCGGCGCTTGGACTCGGGGCGATCCGATCCGCGGTCGGGCATTTCCAGACCATAGGCAATCTGGGGAGCCACCACGGGATTCTCGTACGCAGGATTCGCCTTGGCGCGGGCGATGGCCGCTTGAACGAGCTCTTCGTCCGACATGTTCATTGCCTCGCTCTGCTGCATTTCTGCAACCAAACGCACATACTCCTTGACCTGGGGGTGATCCAGTCCGATGAGGTGCTCAGCGAAGGCGATGCGCTCGAACGTGACCCAGCTGCCACCGGGTCCAGGAGGCAGGCGAAAGTCGTCAATGGGGATCCCGGCCGTGGTGTGAGGCTGGACCCGCGTGCGGAGGCGATCACGTATGTCGATGAAGCCAACAACAGCATGTCGACGCTCAGGCTCAGGTACCGGGGAGTCTCTCCAGCAGCCAAGCAGGGCAGCCTTGACCGAGGTCTCTCTCGCCCTGGGCTTCCTGACGTCCTTGACAGCGGGCGGAGCAGCAGGTGGTGCAGCGGGGGCTGTCTGCGAGTTTTCCATCTTGGTTTCACTCAGGTCAGGGTACAGAGAAGTGCGCTTCCGTTTCGGGTAATGAGGAACTGCAGCTTCGTCTTGAGCGTCTTGCATTACAGCATCCTCGTTGGCCGGCCGAGGTGCGGGAGCGTCGGGCTTGTGCTCCTTATCACCACGGGCCTCGACAACTATTTCGTCTTCGGGCTCAGCAACAGGCGCCGCGGTGGGTGGTGAATGAAGGTTGCTGTCGGGTTCGCTGAGCTCGCTCTCTGCCTCTCCGTCTTCGGCCACGCCGTTGCTCTTGTGACCGTTGAGCTGCCTAATGGGTATGTAAGTAGCTGTAGACGGCAATAAGGTTGGTTCATCGGCTGAGCCGAAGCGAGGACACTCGTCGTCGGTTTTCATCTTCTGGAGTTGGACTAACACAAGACAGTCGGGCTGTCGTATGGGTCTCGGTAGCAGGTGAAGAATGAACGGGCCACCAGTCTATTGCCGCCGGGCCGCTGGCAACAAATAGGCAGAATGCGGTTGCGGGAAGGGGTAGCGGCAAGAGGCAGAAACGACAGCAATGGCGAGCAGACTGCTTGCTCCCATCCAGGCTGAAGTCGGTGTAACGCGTAGGGGTATGACAGGCTCGAAACGCAGGCCACGACGGGGGTGAAGACGAGAACCCAACGAATAGATGTGCGGCCCAAGTGGCACCAGTACAAAGACAAGGCGTTTGCAAAGTCGAAGGGAGTCGCCTCGGCGGGAAGGATTCAGAAGCGACGCCCGAGAGCAAGCGCCGGGGTCAAGCGTCTGTTTGAGGTTTGCCGGCACCCGAGCGAGTTGATTTGAGGCAGGAAAGAGTTGAAGGGGCGCTAGACCCGCAGGCCGATGATGACGAAAGCCGTTGAGATCGGATCGTGAGGGATAACTCCAAACGAAGGACAGAACGGCTAGCGAGGCCTTACTCACTCTGCCCTCGTTGGTGACACTCTTGGTTGGTTGCGAGGCAACTCTGGTGTGCGGCTAGGGCAGTCGGGGCGGCGCAACCAACTCGATGTCTGACAAGACGGATCCGGGCAGAAGAGGCGCACCCAAGGGAGCGGCAGAAGACGGGCAGATTGCTCAATTGTGCACCTTGGCGTGAACGAAAGTGCTTCGCAAGCATGCGAGTTGCCAACGAGTTGGCCCAGGTGACGTGGTGAAGGGAAGAGAAGGAGAGAGAAGGCAAGGTGAGGTGAGGTGAGAAGAGCAGCGAGCAATGAATCAGGGACTGAACAGACGAATCGAGCTATTACCGCCTCGGCTGAACCCGCGCTCCCTGGGCCGTGCACGCACTTGCACTCCAGCGAGCCAGCGAGCGAGCTGCCTTGGCTTGGCTTGGGCACCAGAGTTACCGCACTACAGGTACCCGAGCATCCAGTGCGAGGCCGCGGCAATGCTCAGGTGCAAGGCGAAGCCTGATGCCGCAACAGTGAGCCTACCTGGGGATTGCAGGTCGAGGTGCCGCTCGATGGCGCCTGAGGTGGTGCGCTTGCTTTTTGCGACGAGTGGCGGCTGCGAGAGGGAAGGAGCAGTGTAGTGCAGTTCCAGGCAAGGCAGGAGCGTCCATCCCGCTTCAGGTTGAGCTTCCTGCCAGATGGATTTGCAGCCTCGAATCGGCACGAGAGCGAGTTGCGCAATTTTCAGCCTGCGAAACTACCCAGCACTTGCTTCGGTAGGAACTGGCGCTTGTGAACTGACTTCAGTGTCGGCCTGCATCCCACAGCCGATCCAGAGGCTTCCAATGCTTGGGTGGTCGACGAGACGAAAGAACCACGACGAGAATGAAGCGCAGCGCGGCAGTGAAAGGGAAGCTGAAACTTACACAGAGTCTGTCGCGGTGCCATTTGGCCGCTGCTGTCGCGGCGATGGCTCCTCCTCGCCCTCGTTCTGCTCCCGTTCTGGTGACTGAACAAGAGGCTTGCTGGTGCTCCGCTCATATGAACGGGCCTCTCGCCCCTCTTGGGACTCTTGATGAAGCCGCGGCTCGGCCGGCGGCGTAGGGGCCTGTGGGCGGTCCTGCTGCGGCGATGCTTCCCGACGCTTTTGTTGTTGCTCAGCTGCCGCCTTGGCCGCGGCGACCTCTCGCTCAGCCAGGGCTGCCGCCTGCGTCGCGGCGTCCGGCTCCGCGGCAGCTCCTGCCGATGGCGCGGGCGACGCGGTGCGGTGATTAGTAGACGGCTTCGCGTTGTCGTCGGCCGTCGCAGACACGCTGCGCTTCTCGGCAGCGGGTTCCTCCATGGCGGCGGCGTTGCCGATTGAGCGGGAATGCAGACGACAAAAGGACGACGTTAAAACGCAAACAGACCGGGTAGTTGTTGACGAGTGGAAAGAGCCGGCCGGCTGTGTAATCGGAGCTGCGAGCTATGGCGCAGTAGCCGATGAGCCGTGCCCTTTGACGAACTCGAAGAGGAAAGAGTAAGATGGGGTGATGTGGAGATGCAAGATATTAGGCGACGTCAGGCCTGATTGGAACGCAGTGGACAGACAAGACAAATGCTGACAAGGCCAAGAAGCGGCGAGGTGGCGAAGGGGAAATTATCCAGGCAGACTCTCGTAATGGAGGAGAGTTGCGTGCGCTGGCGTGATGATGGGTGTGTGTGTGTGCGTGCGTGTGCGTGTCTGCGCGAGTGCGTGCGAGAGAGAGTGTGTGTGTGGACGGTCGCAGCGCAGCGGACAATTGCACTCTGGCAATCGATCGGAAAAGCGGCAACGCGAGGAGCGAAACTGGAGAACGGGTTTCCCCCAACGCGCGTTGAAGGTGGCAGAGGAGCAATTACAGCACAGCACGGCACTGTATTAGCCGGGGGCCGAGTTACCAAAACAGAAAGGGGGGCCCGCGAATGCCGCGCAATAGTCGCAGGTAGATAAGGCAAGGTAGTAGTCGCGGAAGGGACACAGGGAGCGTGTGCGAAAGAAGAGAAGGAAGAAAGTCTCTGTCCTCCTCGAGCGGGAGAGAGAGAGTCTGGGTGTGTGCGGGAGAGAGAGACGAAGAGAAACAAGAAACAGAGTTACGGGAAAGAGAGATTGGCAGTGGGCAATTTTGCTCAGGCGGCGCACGAACGCACGCACATGTGCCAGCCAGAGGGCGAGGACTGGTTGACTTGACTGACTTTTGATGGATGGGTGGACGGGGGGTGGGAGGTCCAGTCTGGTGGGCGCGGCGGCGGCGCCAGGGGCGGCGGGAATGACGGGTTAGAGACAGGTTTTACAAGGACGAGCGCAGGGACGAATGATTTGCGAAGGGGGACGATGGGATGGGTACGAAGTAGATGGGCTGAGATCAAATGGGGATTCGGGATTGGGATGGGCTGCTGGGGCTGGGGACTCGACTGACTGGGCTGGGCTCGGCTGGCTGGGTTGGCTTGCTTGCTTGCCGCAAGGGAAGAAAGGCCAACGTCAAGGGAGCAGCTGACGATGATGCAGCAGCAGCAGCAGCAGCAGCAGCAGCCGTTGATTTGGATGATTGACCGGATGAGCGATCGATCACCTCACCGCGCCTCACCGCAGCGCAACGCAACGCGGCCTCCGGCAAAGTTGCAGTGCTACCTCTTTCGCCAACGTACCTACTTCCTGCAACCTTGCCAGATTTCCCAGCAAGCCAAGGTACCCGAAACGATGTACCCACGGTGCGGTCCAGCAAGTTAGTTTCAGCAGCAGGTACTTGGCAAACACGAGTAGGTGAAATGACCCAAATCAACGACCGACCCTCCCTCCCATCCCTCCATCCATCCATCAATCATCCTGCAACGACTTTCTCTCTTTCGCAGTTTGAATCACCTTTGCAGTGACTAGTTCCGCGCACTACGTTGACCTGCCAGTTTCGGGGGGAACCTTTTTGGGGAGCAGGCAAGGAACGTACATCTGTCCAACGTTGATCACGATACATGCGCATCGTCAAGAAGCGAGCAAGTACCGGCTCTTCTTTTTTTTTAGGCCCGAACCAGAGCCCAGAGGCCCCAAAAGGCAGATTCCGTCCCGGCCGCGAGGCTCAATCGCCATTGGCTGGCACGCAATACTAAAGCCTGGGCCACCTGAGCGTGGAACGCCCAGAACGGAAAACCTGACTCTTTTTTGATTATGACCATATGATTACAGGGCAGTGCTGCTTTACAGGCAGGTACCTCGCCTGCGTTACACAAGGTATGTTGGGGGTGAGGGAGGATGCGGATGCCAGCATTGAGAGAACCTGAAGAGCATGATACGAGTATGAACCGGGATGGCCCCCCGTCCGTCTCCTTGTCCCGGCGGCGCCCTCGTCCTCGACGCTTTCATGTTTGGGGCTGCGCATGCATGCGCTGTACTGACTGACTGTACTGGCTGTGCTGTATGTATCATATCGTCTCGACGCAAAATGCTACCCCGACCTCTGATTCATCGCCCGCCCCCTCGGTCCATTCATGGATCGATCAATGGCACGCCAAGGCCCCAACAACCAACTCGCCCGCGCCCAGGGCCATTTGATTGCTTGATCGATGCCACCAGGCAGACAGACACACCCCCCGTCACGACCCAACAGGTAAGCACATTCCCTGCCGGTTCCGAGCCACCACCACCTCTCTCTCTCCATGTCGTTTCATGTCGCACTTGGTTTCAAGCACTGCGCTGAATTGCACCGCACATCACACGGTGCTTTGCTTGCCTTGCTTTGAGAATAATCAAAGCGACGAGGGTGAACATGAAAAAAAAAAAAAAAAAAAAAAAAAAAAAAGGGACGAATCAGTTCGCGTCCGACCCATATGGCCGCACCGCGAATGACATGGAGGCGGTGGTGCCACCAGACAGTAAACAACAAGGACACACGGCAAGGGCAGCCTGCATCCATGGGCCAATGTCAACGCCTCCATGCTACGTCGTGCCTACAACGTCACCTGCCTGCTTGCTCGTCGCCTGCTTGCCCGGGCCCGGGTCGAGTTTGAGAGTTCCGTGTCGCCACTGTGCATGACAACACATGCACCACAAACACATGATGCCGCAGAGCCCATAACAACCAAGGGATCAGCAACGCGGCGGGTGGGTCAATCTCTCAAGTCTCGAAACGGCCTTTTTTGGCCTCTTCCTCACGTTTTGCTCGTGTCCGTTTGAGATGGGCATGGAAGCCCGCGCGCGTGATGGCGACGGTATGCTCCACATGCACACTGCCTTGCCCTAGGCTATCGCCCAGTCTTGACTGGAACTGCTTGCCTGCCCACCGGAGACGCCAGCTTATTAGGCTAACAACTATTGATGGGCACACACGCGTTAATGCCAAGCCATTGCGAATCACTCGAACCATGGGAACATGGCGACACTCGGAGAGATAAAAGATGAAAAGAGCCATCGGAAACCACCCAAGTACGCATATACATACTGTGTTGTACGCACGCAAAGTACCTGAGAGAGTCAGAGTTGGAGAGTCTCGCCTCGGTCCCAATCCCGGTTGAGCGGTGTGCGGGTGCCGGAACGATAACAGGCCATCACGGTGCAACTCGTCCAGTCTCTGCCCCCTCTCAGCCGGCCAGTGGCACGACAAGCAACAAAGGGCGCAGCGAATTGCATACCTTGCGAGGGCGCGCCGGATGCGGTGCTGCTGTTGCTTACGATAATACTCGGCGTCTGTTGAAAGCGACCACCCACCCTTTTTCCCTGTCCCAGCAAATTGTCTCCCCTCCCCCCTCCCTTGAGTTTCCAGGGCTGTTGCTCTCGTACTTCGTATGCCATGTGTTGTGCGCCCTCCCCCCATGTCGGGACCGACTCGGTTTCTGTGTCTCCTGGTCAGATGCTCCTCTCTTGTCGTGTCTGTCAGTGAAACCACCTCTTTCTCGTCGTTGTTCCGCAAACCGTCCTGCTGTCCGACACGCCCACCGCCGCGCCGGAACCCGCTGCCGTCGGTCAGCGAAGTTGCGTGTGGAGGTGGGTGGCTGGCAGGCAAGGGCAAAAGCTTCCAATAGTTGATGGCAAGGCGGCACTGGTGGGGGATGGCGGCGGCCTAGACTTGCGCAATCTCGCCGGCAATCGCGTAGAAGCTCAGATACCGCACGGAACTGTACAGGTGTATGTACATGCAGCGCAGTTTGCACTGTAGAGTACTTGCAAACATGCAGGCAGATATGACGATTACAGTCTGGTTGCTTGCTACGAGCAAAGTTGCTTGCTGAGAATACATCTACTAATACTGAATGGAATGGGCGCCACGCCGCCGCCAAACTTTATCGCGCACGTAGTCGGCGCAGGGATCCGCAACTAACCAGCCGACCTGTCCGGCAACAGACAGGGATGCCACGGCCGGGCCTCAACTGGCGACAACTGGGTACGCCGCGGGAAGGCCTTGTCCACCCAAACAAGGACGGTCAATTGGGGAGAGATACTTGGTAATGCAGTCGCATCAGAGAAGGGGAACTAAATGGGCGGCGCCATGTTCAGGTGCCCAGCGCAGGTCAATGCTGAATCGGCACCAAGCCGCTGGACTCGCCGGCGACCTGGGAAAGCAAGCAAGCACATCATCAGACATGAATGTTTCAGTCCCCACCGTCGACAACACAGACGCAGCAGGCCCGGGCGCCGCACCAAAAAGGAACTGCCGGACAGGAAAATGGGAAATGCGCAGTTCAGCCAGTCCCGTCAAGTCAGTCCATCATCAACGGGCGACCCCCTTGCCGAAAGATGCATGCGTGAGCCTTCCTCACGAGGGTCTCTGCCGATAAATTTGGCTTTGAACCTGCCTTTTAGTCCATGTCGCATTGAAGGTGACCCGTGTTTTGGCCCTCGCCTTCGCCGTCACCGACCGGAACCAGAGTCTATCGAGATCAAGTGAGCGAGTCGGATCGCGCGACGCGACAGAGCCGGCGCGCATGTGTGTCTCTTAATTGTGGCGGCCCCCTTAGCCAGATGGTGCCTTGTGAATGGTTGACGCCGCGGGCATGGCTCCATGATGGGCGGCGCGAGACCATTCATTCATTTGATTCAATCATTCATGCCCGCACCGGCTTTCCTGTATTGTGCGCGAGTACATGGGCTGCACCGGCCGGTTGCAGGTTTTTTGGCTTATCGACGACGTCAACACCCTGCGCCCACCGCCTTTAACGTTGCTTCCCGCCGCCTCTAGTATATGCAGCAGCGCATGGCGTTACTTGCCTGCATAGCAGAGGCTGGGCAAGCAAGCAAGAAAGCAGGGCACAAGCAGACAAGAGAGACAGTTTGGGCAGTGCACATGCGAGTGCCGGGACGTTGCGAAACGCGGCCAGCGTAGAAACGAAATCAGGTATACTTCGTACGACAAGGACAATACTTTTGTGCGTTTGCGGTGTGGCAGAGCAGGGGGGCCGGGGAGGTGGTGGAAAGGGAACATGAAGAAAAGGCGCTCTGTGCATGGTTGATTGCGTTATGAGGTGATTTGTTGATTAGTCCCCTGGCTCGGTTGTGTCTGGGCGAAACTCATTCTCGTGCCATTTTGCATCATTTGATTCTCCGTGAGTAGCACCCGCCGAGGGTGTTTGAGGACAGCGCACGGCGGACAGCGGCGCAGTTTAGGTTGACCCTCGCCTTGATTGCCGTTGGCACCGGAATGAAACACGGTTTTCTATGGTCTTTGTTCGCTTCCCGGTACTATACGAGGGCTGGAAAATGATGGCCCCGAACAGAGGGGTTCAATCAATGATAGAGGCCAGGCAACATAATACTTCGTACTGATGGCTGGAAGGCTGGCTGGCTGACGACTGTCAATACCTTTGCCTCGGGGGACCTGCGATATTCTTGATGATCTGCATCCGCCAACGCGAAAAGAAGAACCCAAAAAAAGAGCTCAAAAGTACTTTCGCACAGCTGGCAACTCGTCCCGGGGTCTGACAACCTGGAACACGCCCACCCCCTAACGCCGCCTGCCAGCAACCACACCCACCCACCACCGCCGCAGATTAATATAACCAAACCAACGGCAAGGCCGTCCCATGCCCCTGTTTTGGCAATGCCCTGTCCTCTCTGTCGATTTGCTTCCGGGGGGATGCGGCAAACGAGCAGGCACACCCTCGCCCATATGCTTCGTTTGCCCATCGAATCTCCTCAGCTTTTGCCGAATTATTGTCGGAAACTATTGTAGTTTAATTGCTGCTGTTTGCTTTGCGCGGCTCACAATCAAAGCAATAGTCCCTCCGATGCGAGCGCGCGTGCATACGGGCAAGGTAAAATACATGCGGATCGGCACGCTCAGCTACGTAATTGAAACCGTTTGCTCTTCAGCTATGGGCGCAGTGACACGGGGCATGACTAGTTACGTTAGTTACAGTAGTACTGTACGTAGGGGAGTAGGTTGGGTAGTAATAGGGTAGACTCGGTTGCGACGACAGTCGTCGGATCAACTCAAAGCGCTGCCCTTTTTCGAGACGGATCTGCCGCGTGCCCGCGCGGCCGCTTGGGCTGCCCGAAACGTCCAAGCTCCTGGATCCCGAGGCGCGAGGGCAAGGAACGTCGTCGCATCGGCGGGCACGAGGCATAAAAGCAGAAGACGTTCCGAGAGGAGGCGGCGGCGGCGGCCGGCCTCGTGCTCGCTTCTCGCCATCGACTGGGTTGTGCCGAGCCTCGGCGGGTAAACTGTACAGTACCGTTTACATGATTCATCAGGCTTCGTTGCTCAGCTGTGGCCGGCAACAAATGTCACTCACTCGAGGTCTCACACACAGACTCGAGCGACTCATTTAGTTGAACGTTATCAATGATGCCTGGCGTTTTGCTGCCCGGTAATTTGTACAACACAAACGAGGAGCAGGAGAGCGCCCGCATGTGAGTGTCTGGTGCTTGTGAGAGAAAGAGAAGAGGATACAAAGAGGCGCAGCGAGCGCATAACGCCAGATAGACAAGAGGCCGGTACAAGTCATATGCACGCCCGCATGGTCGCCGGCGTCAACTGCGTCTGCATTACTTCGTAGGGTATGACAGGGTCGAGAACCCGGGCCCGGATCACGCCTCCCGCTTGTGCCACTTGTCAGGCAACACAATTGCCCGTCGTGCGAGCCCACCCTTCCAACGGCTTTTTCTGGTTCCCACAGTAATCAAAGCCCTTGGAATCAAACGGCGGGAGGGAGAGTAGAGAAAGTGAGAGGGAAGGGGGGAAAAACTTGCTCGGCCCGGGGGGCGTTGGGATGCTTACGCCGGGGGTGAGTCGGCAGCCCGAGGAACTGCACGCATGGGTTTCCGGCGTGGCGGCGTCAGCAAACATCGACAACGGCAACAACATCAACAATAGGACTTGGAAATTAATTTCCTGCACTGTCATTCCTTGGCAATAAGCTTACGTATGTTTACCTCAACGCGGGCGATGAAGTCGGCATTGGGCGAATGAGCCTACAGCCGTGTTGTACTATGTCAGGTTCACTCTGTCTCTCCGCGCTTCTCCCCCGGTATGGCCCGGAGTCCAAGCCTCGACGCTGATTGCGAAGAAAAGTAAAAGGCTGAGAAGCAGCTCACATTAACGCGAATATCACAAGCCCGCCTGCAGGACGGCGAATCAATGGCAGGACGCGTGGCGAACGGCGTGACAGGGCGCCCGGGCCCGGCATGGCACATGTGAGATGTGAGCACATGCTGCGCGAGTCGGACCATTCAGTGGCCTGGTGCCTCTGGCTTTCTGCATGAGACTCGCATTTCATTGGCACTCTTTTTCCTGCTGGCCAGATGAGTGCAGGGCTGTACCGTACTGTAGATACTACGTACTCCGTACTCTGCCAAGTATGGGTGAATGGACGTGTGAAGTACTGTAAATGTGTTATGATATTGTACAGCAGTGCGGCAGCCCTTCATGTTTGCTCACATCCTGCTCGCCGTCGGATTTATGAGAGCAGCATAGCTGAGTCGTAGTACAAGGAATCGCCTGAGCCTGCACGTTCAGAAACGCCACAACTGGCCGGGCGCTTTTGATATCCAACTTGCCCTTGTCGTCCATCATCTCAGCTTCAACGGCCTCTTGCATGGCACGAGCAAGGCCCTCGTGAGTCGTCAACACAAAGCCCCCATCACCAGCATCGACAAGGGGTCTCATCAGCCGCCACCACGGCCGCCTCTCCCCCTCCCCCTTCCCCTCCCCCGTCCTCGGCCTCTGCCGCCGCCTCCACCCCGTCCGCTCTTCTTGCCGCCCCTGCCGCCCGCGCCGTCGAACCGCTCAAACAGCCTCTCCTCCCCAAACGCCGCCTCGCCGAACCTCATGAAGTTGACCAGTCCGCAGTCCACCACTGCCACCAGCACGTTGCGGTACCCGTGCTTGAGCCGCTGGTACAGCCGGCCCGGCGTGCGCATCGCCTCCGGCGGCGGGCTCCACGGCGTGGACCCCAGCAGCGCGTCAATCTCCTCAAGCGTCGGCACCCCGGACTCGGCCGTGTCGGCGACGGCGATGCGGAAGTCGGGCGGCGGCGGGTTCTTCTTGGAGAAGGGCGCGCCGCCGGGCTTCCACACGTGGTAGTGTACCCGGAACGGTTCCTTCGGCTCGCTGTGGTCTGATGCCGGTCGTCGCGGTGTGGGCTTGTGCCGTGGGAGGAGCGCGAGGCGCTGGTAGATGGGACCGTAGGAGCGATACAAGCCTGGGGAGACGAGCGGGCCCATGGGATCCCGCTTGGGTCTTCGCTCGAAGCTCGGCACAAACGAGAAGAGCCACTGCCAAAGACTCTGCCGCGGCGGAGAGTCCTGCACTTCTTTCGCGTCCTCAGCCGTGGATGCCCCATCCGGTGGCGCCCGTAGAATGTGAAAGCCCGCGCGCTTGAGATGTGTGTACACCTGGTATTTCGCCAGCGTCGTCTTCCCCCTGTCGCCCTCGTAGCCGATAAGCAGCGAGTATGCCGCCTCCACGCTCAGCGGCAGCCCGACGTCGTAGTTATCATGTCCATAGCCCGGTGATGGCATCTCACCCGCGGGAAGCAGCTCCGGTAGCGACATTTCCGGCCACCACAGGTCCACGGTGCCGCGCTCGACGAGATAGAGCGCCTCTTCAGGAAGCAGCCACAGACGCCCGACACCAGGCTGGTCTTTGCTTCCGGGGACGGTGCGGCCAATATCCTTCATCCAGCTGCCCTTCTCGTGCTCCATGACGACGACGCGGTCCAACAACCAGGCGTCGGGCTGCGTCTGGCTCTGCTCCCGGCCGGCGACTTCGTTCCTCGCAGGCGGCGGCGATGGTGTCGAGACAGTGGCATCAACGGTCCACCAGTCAGGAAAGTACCATGCCCGTATCCACGCATCTGAACGGTGCGTGCGCGTGTAGCCGAGCACCTCCTCCATGGCGCGTCGACTGGCCTCGAGGGCGCCATCCTGGGCACGTGTGCCGTGCGACTCAAAGTCCTTCTCGCCCTTGCGGATCGTCTTGCTGGACACGCCCCTCTTCTCGAACATGGCTGCGAAGAGCTTGTAGTCGGGCAGTCCGTCGTCCTCCATGCCATCTTCGTCCTCGGCGTTACGCGCGGCACCCCCTGCGGTGGGCTGGGCGGCGGGCGCCCCCGCGGCCTGCAGCGGGTTGTCGTCGTCGTCGAACGGCATGCTGCCAATCCCTTAGAGGGGAAACGGAGACGCCGAGCGAGAAACCGTGTGCCGAAATGGCCTGTCGCTTCAATAGTCTCCCGTAATGTGAGCCAAGAACAAGGTGGCCTGAGTGACTGAGAATGAGGTTCAGATGTTCTCAAATGGCCTTGACGTGAGCTGACGAAGAGTCAGCAATGCAACGTGGCCACTGAAACAGCTGTAACGCTCTTACCTTCTAAAGAAAACTTCTCACAGAATTATCCAAGAATTTCAATCGAGCATGAATCGCCCAACGCCGTGCCCACCCTCGATCAAATCTATGTTGTGAAAGGTTGAAGTTGAAGAGGCCATCTGCTTTTCAGTGAGGCGGTGGGTCCACCAAGAACCCGAAGGCATGGTGCGGCTGGTGCCCCGCCACACCTATATAGGACCTAAATTCGACGAATTGCCACTCACACTATGGGAGTCTGGCCGAGTGGTTAAGGCGTTGTGTTTAGGAAGTCGTCATCCACCGTGTTGACACGCTTAATTCTTGAACCGCAATGGGCATCGCCCGCGTAGGTTCGATCCCTACGGCTCCCACGCGATTTTATTTTTTGCGTGTTGGTGGTGCTTTTGCATATTTCATGTTCGAATTTTTTTCCATTTGCTTGCTTGCTCGTCGACTCAAACTGCGCCATTCATATCAATCCTTTGAGCGTGGTTCATCATATGTTCCTCGCCAGCGTCCGCGGAGTCCTCCGCTGTGAATAGATCCTCCTCGTGAGATGCTTGCGTAGCTCATCAACATATTCGTATGGCTCCAGGCCGCCTAGAGACATGAACTCGGTATATCCCATCCAATCACGCCCACCGTACCCGCTCTATAAGCGGCGGGAGAAGCCATCGATCCCGCAATCGCCAACTCCGCCTGTCCAAACGCCCCGAGTATGCCTCGGCAGAATAATAGTTGGATGAAATGTCCTCCTCCTCCAGTGCGCGCCAAATCAGGGCTTCAAACGCCTCGTAGGGGTATAGAGCGCCGCCCGCCATGTACAAGTCCAGGTAGCCCAGCCGCTTCGAGCTCGTCTCGTTGTGTCGCGGTCGTCAATACGACTTTTCAGTCGATGAAGGGCTTCTTCTGACCCCCAACCATGCACAGCCCCAAAGCACGTAAAGAGTCTCGGTCGTTGGCCAGAATGATGTTTCGCGCTGGTAGCATGGGGTTGTTCGGGTCGACGAGCGCCGCGTCTTTGGCTGCCTGCTCGATGGCATCCATCTCTTCTTTGCACGCTTGTTGGTCCAACGGGCAGATAACAATGGGCTGCCGTAGCGTCACGTCGCGCGCTCCACTCAGTTGAACCTGTGATCGTATTAGAGGTGTCAAGGAGAAGGACTGTGGACTAGTGGGGAGCAGTACCTTGATACTGACGTAAAACTCAATCTTGTACAGACTTGACGTGGTGGTGAACGTGGCGACCTCGTATTGGGGAAAGGCCGGCTTGCCCCTCTTGATGATACCGTCCGGATCTCGGAGATCTTTTGACGGAAACACCAGGCCGATGTTGGTGGCGTACCCGGCCTCGGGCATCTTCATCTTGACTGCTTGCACCTGCTTCGAGAGCTTGTTGACCTTTTTAGTTGGCTCGTCGCCTTCCGGATTAAACGTGATTTCCTCCTCGATTGTGAGTGTGATCTTTTCGATTGTCACCCGCTTCGCTTTGCTCATCCAGTCAATGTTTGGCGACAGCTTGATGTATACGGTAATGGGGTCGCTGGGGCCAAAGCTCCACCGCGGGAGGTTGATTCCAAGGTGGACAATGTTGTCGGTGGTGACAAGCTTGGTCTCGGGCTTGTTGTACATTCCGAAAGTTGACAGCGTATCGTACCGCTGCAGGGGCACCGGGAAGCTGTATTTGTACTGGTTGCTGTGACCCTGCTGCAGGGTCACGACCAGCTCGTAGTACGTCTCGGCGGTCCGGCTAGGAAGCTGTAATGAGGCCGGGGGTATCCGGCGGTTCGTCTCTTCGCCCCCTCTGCCAAAGGGTATGAAGAGCACAAAGGGCAGGTCCATGGCGATTACGCTCTCGGCCTCCTTTCCTGTTGAGCATCGGAAGAGCAGAACCTCTTTGCCCACCACGTCAGTCGACTCTCGTCGAGGAGCTCCGAGATGCCTCTTGGTGAGGCTGTCCGCATCTGGATGTATCGTTTCGCGCCGTTGTAGACATATTCGTACTAATGATATGGGAACTGGCATGGAGAAACCCTGACCAGGTCGTATTTCAACCTTGCCCTCGATGCGCGGCTGCAACTGTCAGCATTGGCTCTCTTGTACCACGTCTGCGGGGGAGCGGCCGAGGGGTCGGGGCGACCAGGACAGGGTGCGGTCGCAAACATACCAACGTCGCCGAGATGCCAGGGTAGCCGACGAGGAAGCTACTGTTTGGAGGGCCCGAGACCCTCACGCTGGCTGGCGCAGAGGCCATGATGTCGTTGTGGTTTCCGCCAGCACGGGCTCGCCGACGATTGCGGCAGCGGCTGGAGGAGAGAGGGTACTATAGGGGCGTCCAGGCGCGGCAGGAGGTGTTGCGGTCGTCTTGGCCGTCGTCAGCGGGCGGTGGTAATTAGCGATGCCGTCATGTAGCGTGGTGCCGTGGGCGTGCGACGAGGGGGGAGGGGAGGGGTGGCGTGGTTGGTCGTTGATGTCGTACGCACGCAATGAGGCGTAGTTGTCGTCGCCGTTGTCGTCGTCGGTCAGAGAGGACAGAAGTCGGACAGCGTGCGCGCCGAGTGCGGAGGAGACGCGGCCGCCGTTGTAGCAGTACGGAGATTCCTCACACGGGAGCTCGATGTCGGAGGCGCCGATGGGTATTCCTGGCAGTAGCGGTGATTGCGCAGTGGGGGTGTTGGTCGCATCCCCAGGAACGGAGGCAGCTGGTGAGCACGCCAGGCTGGCCGTCGTGGTCGGGCGCAGCGTCGCGTAAGCGATGGCCGGCAGGCGTCGACGGACGGATGTCAGGCTTTCCGTGCAAGTGGAGCGCCGGGATGCGAGCTCGCCGGGGCGGTGCGTGAGCAAGCTGGGGAAGAGAGAGGACGGGAGAGACGGGATGCGGCTCGTCAGGGACGCGGAGGAGGTTTAGGTTAGTAAGGTAAGACGCAGCTGTAGAGTGCGTGTCCCGGCTGAAAGAGCCACCGCGCGCGCGTGGAGGGCGGGGGGAGCCGCCGGGGCGCCTTTCAGTTGCTCCAGCTTCAGCTCGAGGGCCTGACAGCGGTACCTTTGCGCCTGTAAGAATGGACGAGAACAGGACAGGGCTGCTGATCCTGCGTTGGCGCAGGCTGCACGCGGGCAACGGACGGCCAGAAGTCGAGAAGGGATTCGGAAAACAACACGCAGCCGAAACTTAAAAAAGGCCAGCTACAATCGCGAAGCAGCTTGCTTGGTGTTTGCAGATGGGGCACACGTTGCTGGGGCATGCGATTCATGTTGACGGGCGCACTGGCAGCGCCTCCACGTCAACCCCAAGCCCAGAGTAGCCCAGCGGTACCGTAGGTACCTTCGCTCCAGTGCTGCAGTGGAGATGGGATGGAGGCTCCCCCGACGGCCTCGGGTGCCGGCCAGGGCTGGCTGCCGCACCTCGCCTTGCTGCCCCGCGATTAGGTGACGTTTGCTTCCATGTCCAGGAGGCCGGTGGGCTGCCTCGTCAGCCATCAGCACGCTTTTGCCAATCAGATCGTGTGACCTCGGACGCCAATGCACGCCGAAATGCTTCGCTCGCCACCACCCAAACCCCGAGCCGGCCTGCGCACTGAGAGTTGGGCGGCTTCCGACTCGAGAGGATGGCTGACCGTCTGCCACATGGCACGCACCGGGGCACCGCAAATTGCCAGGGACTCGGCCTGCGACTCCGTGTTTTTCGAATCTTGGAGCCTGGTCCAGGAAGAGTTCGGGCGAACTGATCGTCTTCAGCACCATGCGCCCCCGCGTCAGCCTGCATCCAGCTCGAGTCACCGTCGCACACCCGGGCGGCCAACTCGCCGCTTCAGCCAAGGCAGCTCGATCTGCGTCGGGCGGACAAGGAGGTACGGCCCTCGATCAGGCGCGAGATTCCTCCAATAAATGGCCGCGTCCCGACGGCGAGCTGTTGTTGGTATCTACTCTCATGCGCCTGGCAGTGCAGTACATGTTGCAGGCAGATGCGTCGCCAACCGCTTCCATGGCATAAAACATGTTTCCTCAAACCGCCCGCCCCTGCCCCTGGATTGGTGCGACTGCGGCGCTCGAAGCCATGGCCGGCCGGGTGCCTGCGCGTTCATCCCGTCCCTGTCGTTCCATTCTTGGACCCCTCCATCCCTCCTGCGCCCAAGACGCACGGGTGCAGCGACGCCCCGGCCGACAACGACAGCTTCCAGGGCAGGTTCCAGGTTCCCGTCCATCCATTCATGGGGGCGGGCGCCCGGTCGCCCGCCAGGCACCCCGACAGCGCGCCGCACCTCCCCTCAGGTACCGGCGCCCGCTGGAGAACACTGACCAGCCGCCCCGACCGCCTAAAGTGGCCTAGCCCCGGCCCGCCGGTCACGGATCGCGGGGGGCCCACCTCAGATTTCGAGCTTGGTCCTCCGGCCTTGCGCCAGACGTGACACTGCAACCTCACCTCACCACAACCAGTCCATCGCATCAACGACCACGTACCCGGCGCCGCCGACGGTCCGCAGCCGCCATGTCCATCACGCTGCACACCTCTCTTGGCGACCTCAAGATTGAGGTCTTTTGCGAGAGCGTCCCCAAGACCGCAGAGGTGCGTGTCCCTGTGTCATTACCACGATCCATCAGCTAACTCCATTGTCCATAGAACTTTCTCGCCCTCTGCGCGTCCGGCTACTACGACGAATCGCCCTTCCACCGCCTCATCCCATCATTCATGGTTCAGACCGGCGCCCCCGCCCATCCGGATCCCGCCGCCGGCAACCCCAAGGGCGGCCGGTCGATCTGGGGCGGTGCTTTCGACGACGAGATCCGGCCCTCCCTGCGGCATACCTCCCGCGGCGTAGTCTCCATGGCCAACAAGGGGCCCGGCACGAACGGCTCCCAGTTCTTCATTACGTTCGACAAGGCGTCGCATCTCGATGGGCTCAACACCATCTTCGGCAAGGTCATCGGCGACGACTCGCTCGCGACGCTCGCCAAGATGGAAAAGGTCGAGGTGGACAAGAAGAGCCGCCCCAAGGAGCCGTTTCGCATCGAAAAAGTGACAATTCATGCGAATCCGCTGGCCGGATGAAGGGCTTGCATCGATGGATACACTCACGGAAGTCACAGCTCGAGTTTACGTGCCCCACCCTCCACGGAACGATGGTCGCGAGGCCCACGGTTTGCTCTGGCCCTGTGGCAAAGCTACTCATCAACGACCTTCAGTAGTCGGCGAGGATGTAGAGGACCAAAGAGGCACACCGAGCCGTGGACGGGATACAATTCTACGCCCATCGCGGTGTTCTTGCCGATCTCTTACAACATCGCTCGCTGTCGCCGGCTCGGCGCCATCTCATGCGATGGCATCGTCACAGAACCGAAAGAGATTCCACGATGCTTTGGTGGATGTGTTATCATATCAGGTATTCCATGTACCACCTCCGCCGGCAATTCTCGAGCAACGTTTGTTACACCTAGGCGGCTTTAGAAGCACGAGCGGTGCCAGGGTTGGATGCCTGTAACCAGGACCCGAGTTTTGATCCCTGGTCACGCTCAACATCTGGCCGACGAATAGAGTTGTTGCCTGCATTATGGCGTGATTCTCTGCAAGCCATAGCCGAGCTTTTGGTCTCGATTCACTATACCAAGTTCTCATGGAAATTGACTGAATCGCGCACTTGGTGTCTTTTGGGCAATATCTGCCTGGCCGGCTTCGGCCGCGATATATAGGCAACCATCTTATCGCTTCGAAGCATTTCCCTCATACTATCCCTGTATCCATGGCTCCAAGCATTCGCAAGTCCATCGTGACGCTGTTTCATCGAGATTGTGATCTCGTGGAGCCTCAGTCTTCGGTTAGATCGACTGCTTCCTCGCCACTCTCCAATTTCACCAACTTGTACTGGCGTCCCTCGCAACTCACCGTGGCTCTGTCGTCGATCTCTCGTTTCACGGACCGGGAGTCCTGGCCCTGGTCAGCCAGAAGAACATCTGCTGTAGCCTGGTGGAAGGGACTTACTCTCTGGGCGTGAAGGAGATTCTGAGCAAAGGTGCGAAGTTCACTTATCGACATAGTGTTGATGTCGGGTTTTGCTGGAGAAGGTGATCGTGGGGGAGGCAAGATCATCTCCTCTCGAAGAGCATCTTGAAAAGTTAGTTTGTTGACAAACGCATTTTCTGAAGCCAGCTTACCCCGAGAACGATATCGAAACACGAATTGTCCGATAGCAGTCCAGTTTTCCATCATCTGGGCTTTTGGGGCAGAAGCTATGCCGGTGACAGGGAAGCTTGTCCGTTTTCAGCTGATTGTCCTCGTCACTTTGGGTGAAGTTTGAACTTACGATGTTCCATGGGAGATTGCCTTTCCCTTCATGGCCTTCTCGGCTAACGCAAACTCGCCTGTCTGCTTGACAGAGATTCTGAGATCGCCTAAATTCGTTGTCTTCGCCAAATGAATGTCGACACGAATCTCACCCAACGACTTGGCGATCTTCGCGTCTTCAGCAATCTTCTCTTTCGTCGCGCTGTCCACTACAAACAATCGGTTGTAAGCATCCAAGTGACGCAACTTCGCTCCTGCACGCCGCAGACTTACCACCGGATACAGGCGCAAACGTAAACAGGCACTGTACGGTGTCTTCCTTGTTTGCTGACAGTGAGTACGTGTCGGAGATGGTGAAGGTGCGAAACTCATTTTTGCGAAGTTGGTTGAGCTTGAGCCACTTGCAGTTGACCCAAGTTCCGTCGATGTATGCGCTCACACAGATGGCGTCGCGGTCTGCGTACTCGGGGTACGCAGTCTGGAATCCAGGTCCAAATGTCGCCTCTATTTGAAACAAAGTGCCCGAGCTAGACTCGATGTATGTCGTCGTACGCGGCCAAAGATGCTCGCCTTGTTTGCCAGCAGCCGAGGCCACGCCAGCAATGGATCCGGTGACTTCGCTCTCGGCGGAAGAGTATTCCACCGCGGCTTCGCTTTTGATTACAACCTTGACGGACAATCCCGGCATCTTCGATAGGACGGCCATGGCTGCTCTCGCGAGCTGGGCGACTTGGCAGCCGAGCCGAGGGCCAAGAAATGAAGAGAAATGTTGAGGCTACGGCCCTCCAAGCCTTGCTCCTGTGCGAAAGGTTCACACGGACGAGAAGTGAAGGGGAGAAGGAATGGAGGGGGAAGTGAATGGAAGAGGGCGAGAGGTGGAAGTGGATGGAAGAGGGAAAGAGGGTGGGCGTGAGAAGTAGGCAGGAGCGAACGTGCCGTTGCCTTGGGACCCGTTGAGGTACGTCCTTGGGCAAACGCGCGCGCATCCAACAGAACAGGCACGCAGTCACTGGGGGCGCCCAAGCTTGCCCTCAAAGACTCAATAGGTAGAGAACGCAAAGCCGCCAGTGTCTGTTTTGAGAGGTCTCGGGGGTGAACACTGAAAGCGTCTTCGGCCTTGAGTTTCACTGTGCGAAAACTCCCCTTGCTGTCTTGTGCGACTTCATGCACGTCACACGACAGCAAGCCGTCCGGGATTCCAGGAGGCTCTTGCCTCCCCGAGATTGCTCAATTCGATTGGGAATATCATCAACTGAGATTTCCAGATTCTGCAACTCCAGCAGCATGTTGCGGAGCCGGCCCGGGACTCGTGTTATGCCTGCGTACAACTCGTCGTGTGACTGGGCCAATCCAGCCTACAGTCAAGTAGAGCAATATACTGTGCTCGCTGCTCGCCGTGTTTGCCAAGCTTGCATGAGCGACACCAGGAACTTATAAAAACGACGACTGGCTGGAGTGATAGCGTTCAGCACTGGGCCTGGCGGACTCCAGCAGTGTACGCCGCGCTATCTGGCAGCTGTTTCCTGCAAAACCCCCGTCACTGAGTTAAGGTGGCCGTCGTCATCATGAAGCAGAGGTCGTCGGCCTAGATATCTCAATCGGTACAAACGGTTGAGATGCCCACAGCAGTGGCTCCGAGTACGGCTGTTCGTGTTGATGGCATGTACATTGGTCTTACGGATTCTGACTGCAAGACCGAATAGTTTGTCCCTGGAGCAGTGACACCCATCTGAATTGCGTTGGAACTCTGTCGCTGCTCCAATTAATTTCACGAGAGGCAGGCACCATCGCAAATAATGCGGCTAGCGGACATGGAGTCGGATAAAGAACGGCTCTCGCTCGAAGGCGCATCGATGGCGACGACCGGTAGAAGCACATTTGCATAGCACATGGCATTGGAGACGCCAAGCTTACATTTGAAACATATCGACCCTTCGCATTTGGAGCTTGCTCATTCATGTTTGAGCGCAGCCTCGAAATCGATTGCTAGTGGCTTATGAGCTTATTACATCCGTGGGCTTCTTCGAAGCTGCATTCTTGACGAGAATCGCGATGACCATGTTGCGCGTGGGGCTGCAGGGCGTGTAATGTGCTAGTAGTGCCAACGTTCCCGAGAACCAGACAGCCTCAAAATGCCCCAGGAAGCGTGCCTGCATGCTACTTATGAACCTATCCCTACGGTATTCAGGCACTCTCCTCTATACCTGGGTGCCACGCTTCGGCCTCCCCCGCCCGCGGATGGGCGCCACCATGTGAGTGCCCTGGATGTTGTACTTCCCACTCTACGATGACGGGCACAATCTACGCAAGCGTGGCACGCCTAGAAGCGAGATAGAAGGATCTGGCGGATAGCCAAGCCGGAGTTATATGTACGTGCTCAATCTCGGCCCGTTCCATCGATGTCTAGAGACGCGAAGTCCATGCAAGTGTCACCATCAATATTTCGATGAGAGCGAAAATGCCGTCGGGACTCGGGAGACAACCATTGGTAACACCAGACACCCCTCACACACTCAGGTGTTGGCTCCACACGTGCTTGCGCAGGACAGCCGGGTATTAATAGTCCAGGTATCCTCAGCTGCGGGAGCCAGCGAGGACCAACCCATCAAGTCGCCGTCCCGGCAATCCAGAATCGACTGATGGACCTTGGGGTCATGGCAGCCATTCCAAATGCAGTAAGCTTTTGAGAGTCGGCACGCTTGACGGGTCGTCGCTGGACTGGAGCGGGATCACAGTGACAAATAAAACCTGGCTCGCCGCGCTCGCTGCGGCGGCGGCGGTCGGAAGTAAGTCCAATACGAAGAAAGGGTCCAGACTGTTTCTACCGGAACATGCGGGTTTGAGACACGAACATAAGGGCAAGAGAAAGAAATCGCGTGAGGCAGTCCTCCGGAAGCGGCGCTAGGCCCGGCGGGAAGGAAGTCCACGGCGTTGAGACCGGACACCTTGTCGGACACAGACTTACTTGAAGGTAACTCAGAGCAGGCCTCTGTTTCGCCACACATACTTTCGTGGCGACTGGGGGTCTGGGGACGGGGACGCGGAAGTCGACGTTGGGCGCTAGGACAAGCGGGCATGCAGGCCGAGCAGCCACACTCACCGAGCTGGGCAGTACCACGCACGCTGCCACGGAGGAGTGGCAGGAACGGGAGATGGGATGTGACGCGAGCAGGGTCTCCACGAGACGGAACCTTTGGTGGGGCGGAGGGGTCACGCAGTTGATGGAGGGGAGGGCTGGGGGCGGATGGCTTCGCCAGGCGTTGCGCCGAGCACGCGAAACTCAACTGTGGGCTAAAGGCCGATGGGCGACATCGGCATTAAGATGTGCTGGGGTGAATTCGTGGTTGTTGAAACTGTTCTGGGATCGCCATTCACGGCGGCTTTTCCCGTCTTTTGCCCCCAGCCAGGTTGAATGCCGCTGGGACATGACATGGAGCGAGTGTGGAACTCGACAGACAGGAACCAATTGGCCCCTTTGGACCCCAAGAGGCAGAATTGAAGACAAGGACGTTTGGCCAACGTCATGCCGGTTGCGGGGCTCTCGCCGTCAGCACTTACTTTTGATGAAGCATCTATGGCTCAGGTCCCGTCCGCACAGATCCCCACTGGGGCCGTGTTTGGTCTCACTTCCGACGGGTCTTTGTTGCCTCGTTGGCCGGCGGGGGGTTCGTCCGCATGCCATTGAACGCGACGAGCGGACTACGGGATAACTTTTGGGCATAGCATGGCATGGCATGGCGACTGGGAGTTGAGGGGGGAGACGGCACGGCCTCGTCTATTCTTCCTTGAAACAGCGCCGAGCACAGTACAGCGCCGACGGCGCAGCAGCACAGCTGGGGTTGAGGGAGCATTTGGACCAGTTTGGCCAGCGGCTCCGTGTTTGGCCGCAGGACCGAGGGCGCCTCTGGTGTCGCGCGGCGCATCGAAGGAGGGGTTTCTGCATCTGCGTGCCGGCAACATGGCAAGGGCTCGACAGACGGGGATGTGCCTTGTACTTGGGCCTTGTTGTCTGGACTCTGCACACCGAGCCCCGGCAACCTGCGCTGGGGTCGCACAAGCTCTGCCGCGGAGCTGCTGACCGTTGCATGCTGCAAAGCAAGGATCGTCACGTAGCACAAGGGTTCAAGCAGATATGTCATCCGTCACCGAGCTTTCTCCACGTCGTCTGCCGTGACAGCACAGGTGCGACGACGACAAGTGCTGTGTGCTCGAGCCTCGCCACATCACCACCACCCATCGCGCAAGGATTCTCTCCCAGATGTGCCCTTGTTCGGACGACGACTCCTTTACGTGTCGAATCGGCAGTCTCCAGCAAAAGGCCCAACTCATTGGCCGCGGCTCTGCGGGGAATCTCCACCATGGGCCTCGGATAGTGTGCCATCGCGTCTCAGCGGCATCGGGGCGTCATGCGTGATTCGCTGCCGCCCAACACCATCCCGGAGCCGTGGAGGGGCAGCTCCTCTGAGCTCTTCCGGAGCTTGACATAATGCCGTCCCCAGTCTGTGCTCCGCTGCTGCGTTATCGTGGTGCCCTTGGTGCGTGGCTGTTGGCGTCTAGCGCGCGGTTGCCAGGGAGTTCCGTCCGTGTCGAGTCCGTTTCCGCCTCTGGCCCGGCGGCCCCCCCTCCCCCTTGTGGCGTTGCCCCATTACGTCCGCCGTCTAGATTGTTCGGATAGCGTCGCCCCTCGCTCGGCCTTGGACACTGCGGGGGAGGCGACATGGACGGCGCGACGCTTTCCCCGCCTTTATAAGGAGTTTGCTGCCGCGGCCTGTTGTCCCGTCGGCTTCTCTTCTCCTGCGTAGTCTCTCTCCTCTGGTACTAATAAATCGCCTCGTTATCCTCTCATCAGACTCCTTGTTGTTGTAATTTGATACCCCCAGAGACGAAATCACCATGACTTTGACCGTCGAGCTCAAGACCCCGGCGACGGGCACCTACCAGCAGCCCATCGGCCTGTAAGTCGACCAACAAGAGTCGCCACCTGGCTCCCAGGCGCGCTCAGGACCCAATGCGACTGCGACATCAGGCTAACACGTCCTAGGTTCATCAACAACGAATGGGTTGAGGGTGTCGACAAGAAGAAGTTCGAGGTCATCAACCCCTCCACCGAGGAGGTCATCACCTCAGTCTGTGAGGCCACCGAGAAGGATGTCGATCTCGCCGTCTCCGCCGCCCGCAAGGCTTTCGAGACCACATGGCGCCAGGTCACTCCCACGGAGCGCAGCCGCCTGCTTCTCAAGCTCGCCGACCTTGTCGAGAAGAACCTCGACCTCCTCGCCGCCGTCGAGTCCCTTGACAACGGCAAGTCCATCACCATGGCCAAGGGCGATGTCGGCGCCGTTGCCGCCTGCATCCGTTACTACGGTGGCTGGGCCGACAAGATTGAGGGCAAGACCATCGACATTGCCCCCGACATGTTCCACTACACCCGCGAGGAGCCCGTATGTCACCACTCGCGCACGTTCAGACTGTACCTCAGTTGCTAATTGGTCTTCTAGATTGGTGTCTGCGGTCAGATTATTCCCTGGAACTTCCCCCTGCTCATGCTTGCCTGGAAGATCGGCCCTGCCCTGGCCACCGGCAACACCATTGTCATGAAGACGGCCGAGCAGACGCCCCTGTCTGGTCTCGTCTTCGCCAACCTCGTCAAGGAGGCCGGCTTCCCCGCCGGTGTCTTCAACCTCATCTCCGGCTTCGGCAAGGTCGCCGGTGCTGCCATCTCTTCCCACATGGACATCGACAAGGTCGCCTTCACCGGCTCCACCGTCGTTGGCCGCGCCATCATGAAGGCCGCCGCCGCCTCCAACCTGAAGAAGGTCACCCTCGAGCTGGGTGGCAAGTCCCCCAACATCGTCTTCGCCGACGCCGACATCGAGCAGACCATCTCTTGGGTCAACTTCGGCATCTACTTCAACCACGGCCAGTGCTGCTGCGCCGGCACGCGTATCTTCGTCCACGAGAGCATCTACGACAAGTTCCTCGATGCCTTCAAGAAGCGCGCCCAGGCCAACAAGGTCGGCGACCCCTTCAACGCCGAGACTTTCCAGGGCCCCCAGGTCAGCCAGCTGCAGTACGACCGCATCATGGGCTACATCAAGTCCGGCAAGGAGGAGGGCGCCACTGTGGAGATTGGCGGTGACCGCCACGGTGACAAGGGCTACTTCATCCAGCCTACCATCTTCTCTAACGTTCGTCCCGACATGAAGATCATGCAGGAGGAGATTTTCGGCCCCGTCTGCGCCATCTCCAAGTTCAAGGACGAGGAGGAGGTCATTTCCCTGGGCAACAACACCTCGTACGGTCTGGCCGCCGCTGTCCACACCCGGGACCTCAACACGGCCATCCGCGTCAGCAGCGCTCTGAAGGCCGGCACCGTCTGGGTCAACTGTGAGTCGATCCCCCGCGTGATTGCACTTTCCTGCATCGTTTCTGACCGTTGTAATAGGCTACAACCTCCTGAATCACGCTGTGAGTCCCGTTCTCCACATCACCACCGGCAGCCTCCGAACAACCCCGGGGCGTCGTACACGTTCCCCTCATCGTACAGACATGCTAACAGGCTTAAAAGCTTCCCTTCGGCGGCTTCAAGGAGTCCGGACTGGGCCGAGAACTTGGCGAGGAGGCTCTCAAGAACTACACGCAGCACAAGTCTGTGGCCATCCGGCTCGGAGGCCCCTTGTTTGGTTAAAATGGAGGCTGTCTAAGGCGTGGGAGGTTACTACCCGTGTAATTTATCGTTTTCTCAAGCCACATGAGTCCAGGAAGGTACGAATTAAAGAAATTGGAACCATGCTTCGTTGTGTGGGAGGCTGTCGATGCTGGAACATGTCTCATGCAGTCACACATATGCGCTCATATATCCGCATCGGCTTTCAGATTTATGGAATTCAGACAGCAGACGGGTTGACAAGTGTCCTGGTCATCCGGCACGTCTAGCAATCCGCCACTGATTGCGCTGGTTGTGCAAAGCTCTTGGTTGCGGTCATATCACACTGCGCCACACAGCCTCACCGCTACACAATGGCCTGAGGCAGCCGCCCAGTTGCAACTGAGGCTCAAGCGGCCTCGGCCCGCTCCCTCCAACGGTTTCTGGGGTGATGTCGCTCCTTCTCAAGTTTGCCGTACTCAATGGCATCTGCCAAAGGTTCCGCGGGGCCTTTACGGCGCATCATTGAGCGCGCCTTCCTCAGTCCCGCGTGGCAGGCCACTACGAGAAACGTTCCGATGCAGAAGAGGCTGGTGTAGAGTAGTTGGATCCTATAGCTTTGCTTGCCGTCGCAGTGTCCGGGCTGGCGGTGGTCACGACAACCATCATGGCACTGGAATCGTGCTGGCCCCAGACTCCTTCTGCGAAATGCCTGAGACTTACCTTTGGTCCACCTCGGCCAAATTGCCTTGCGCAGACAAGACGTGACCGTCGTTTGTCCATGCTTGCACTGCGGCACTCGATTCTGATTCTCGGGAGGGCACATTTCTCGGTCGGTCCAAACAAAGGGCCTCCGAGCCGGATGGCCACAGACTTTTGCTGCGTGTATGTACCGGTTGTCCTTAAAGCTGACCCTAGAGAGGCGCTCTACGAGCGCCTCTCAAGGTGCTGAGGAGACGGCAAAATTGCCGTCCTCAGTGCTTCACTGTCGCCGGCTCCTCATCCAAACGAGTTGAGAGACTCGAGGTCATGCCAAGTCTTGGAGTGCTCAAAAGAATCGCGTCCAGAGCCATGGGAAAGCACAGATGACGATTCCCGGGATGTAATGCGCATCTTAATAGAGATTCGACGGCGAACGCATTGCTGAGGAAGCTTCCAAGTTCTCACAGGTCAGTAGGACAGAAGCTGCGAAAGCAGCGGGAGTTGTTCTTGGACTCTTGGTGTTGGGAATAAGTGGGGCACTATCGATAAGCGCAGCTGCAACCAAAGCCGCCCAGCTTTCCCTTCGTCACATCCCGTCGCGACACAAGGCACATCTCAACCACGACGACCGCAGGTCGCGGACCGCCACCACCGACCACAGCTCGAGTGTCCCCACCATGTCATCCCTTTACAATCTCGAGCCGCAGCCGACGGCGTCGGCCATCATCCACACCACGCTCGGCGAAATTCAGGTCGAGCTCTTCGCGAAGCAGACGCCGTTGACGTGCCGCAACTTTTTGCAGCTGAGCTTGGACGGCTACTACGATGGCACGATATTTCACCGCCTCGTGCCCAACTTCATTTTGCAAGGTGGCGACCCGACGGGCACGGGCAACGGCGGCGAGTCCATATATGATGGCGGCGCCTTCAGCGGTGACCTGGACCCGTGGCCAATGGACCAGCGGCACGGCAAGAACGCTGGACCGACGGGGATCAACTTCAAAGACGAATTCCACTCAAGGTTAAAATTCAACAGGCGTGGCCTCCTAGGCATGGCAAACGAGGGCCGCCAGGACACCAACGGCAGCCAGTTCTTCTTCACGCTGGACAAGACTGAGGAGTTGACGGGCAAGAACACAATGTTTGGGCGCGTGGCCGGCGACACGATATACAACCTCGCCAAGATCGGCGAGTCCGAGGTGGAGCCAGGTTCCGAGCGTCCGCTGTATGCCGTCAAGATTGAGCGAATCGAGATCCTCGTGAACCCGTTCGAAGACATGCAGAAGCGGACACGGGTAGCGACGAAGGCCCCGACGAAAGCGCCCGCTGCGAAAGACAAGAAGAAGAAGCGCAAGGGCGGGAAGCAGCTGCTCAGTTTCGGCGATGAAGAGGGAGAGGAGGAGGAGCCAGTGTTCAAGAAGCCCAAGTTCGACACACGGTTAATCGCAGACGAACCCGCGGAGGAGACTCGGGAATCCAAACCTGCCAAGAAGAAGGCATCGAAACTCGATAAGCCAACTGAAGAGCCTGCACCGAAGGCTGAGGATGAGACTGCCCGTGATGGTCCGGCAAAGCCCAGGGAAGAACCAAGACTGAAGCCGAGAGACCCCTCACCAGAGTCATCACCGGAACCCGAGCCTCCCAGAAAATCGGCATTGGAAAGGGCAAACGAGGAGTTGAAGGCGATAAAGGCGTCCATGCGCCGTACGATCCACACGGAGGAGCCAGTTCAGAAACAACACAAATCCGCGCTGGAATCGATGATCCCTGAGACCTCAATACGGGGCCGCAAAAGGCGGCCGGGCGGCAACAACGCGATCAGCAACGAAGATCCAGCGACTCTACAGATGCTCAAGTCTTTCCAGTCAAGACTGGAGAAGGCTCCGCCAGAAAAGGAGCAGGTACAGGCTTCGGAACAAAAGACCGAGGTCGATGGCGCCCAAGATGACCAGGGTGAGGAGGCAGAGCTGTGCGATCTACACTTCATCGCCAACTGCCAGAGCTGCACGGCCTGGGACAAGCAGGACAAGGAGGAGAGCGATGACGAAGGCTGGATGTCGCACTCGCTGTCATTTGCGGCGGACAGACTGGGCAAGGATCTGAGCAACCGCAGGAAGGCCGAAGAGGAGCTCGTCGTGATTGACCCAAGGGAAAGGGCCCGTACATTCAAGGAGGAGAAGCGGGCGGAACGGGACGCACGAGCCGGGGGCAGTGGGCGGGCATGGGATCAGGCGAGGGACCAGGCGCGAAACGCACAGATGGCGCGCGCGGCGTCGCTGGCGGGTAGAGGCGCCAAGTGAGAGGAAGTGAGCCGCTTGCGCGCGGTAATTGTACAGCATGGACGGGGGTGGTGCATAGTCTTTTCTTGAAGCGTTGGGTAGGGGACCTGGTCAGACTTTTTCTGAGGCACGATAACGATACCTGGGCGTGATGGGCTCGTTTCATGTTGCTCTGTGCCCATACAGCGGGTGATGTGTGAGGTGACTTCTGCCACCGGCATGCGGCGGAAGTGTCTTGCTGGTGATGCAAGGAGCTTGGGCCTTTGACGACGATTATCACTATCGGTCTCACTCAATGACCAAGCGTCACGTGGTTGGCGTCACCAAACAGAGTTATCGCAGCGCCAGCGAAACGGGCAACTAGCCCAGCCAGTGAGGTGAGGTGGGGTCGGTCCTGCGGCAACTTGTGGTTAGCGGCAACGGACAAAGGTACGTACCTCTTACGTTACTGTGCAGTTTGCACCGGTGATTTTTAGGACTGCTCGCTTCCGTGCTACCACCACTTGGCGTAAACCCAAGATTGAATCCGTCAACCACCCCTTCGTTCGCCGTGTCCTTTTCCTCAACGGCCCGCTCGTCCCTCGTCACGGAAGAGGCGGATCGCTGCGGAGAATCCTGTGCCCGGGAACGCAACCCAAGACGACTGTCGCGGCAACCCCCAGGCGTCATCGCCCGCCATCGACGAGACACCCATCTTGCGACGCTTGACCGCGTAAGAGCCTGTTCATAAACTTCCCAGACACCCACATCCGCCCGGCCATTGTCGACAGGAGCCGTCAATTGCGCCATCCCACTCTTCGCTGCCAACGCGACACTGCGACGAGCCGCCAACACAGCGCGGCCACGATTGCTGCACTTCGCTGCGGGGGAGCAGAGCCGCATCCGCGACGCCTTGCCGCCTTGACGGCCTGGCCCTGCATCAACGACCAGCGTTGTCAAGCCCCCTGTCCTCCGAGCGAACAACCTCGACAGGAGTCAAGGTCTCGACGCGCTCTTGATCGATCAGATTGCATCTCGCCCACAGCCGCGTCTGCCTCCGAGCCCTCATACAGCCGACCACAAGGTTGCGGTGAAGACTCGACTGTCGAGTGCCTGGAACCCCGACCTCCTGCGTTACGGTTTCTCGATCCTCCCCATCGCCCGCGAAGAAAATCGAACAGCTTCACTTCTCTCGCGCCTGGCGCGACCCGAGACAAACCTCAAAGCACCGAGGTCTACGACCCGCCCACGACGCGGTCATGTCTGCTCAGAATTCGCGGAAGCGCGCGGCGCCCGGTGCGGCACCCATGGCGCCGTACCAGCAGCGCATGCAGCAGCCGTACATACCCGACAATAACGTGGGAGTGACCGACCCAATGATGCGGTGGAATGGCACGGGCGACGGTGCCGACTTTATCGACTCGACAGCGCACCCCGCGAATCAGTACGGCCTCGTTCCGGCCCAGCCGCAATTCGGCCAGCCAGTTCCTACGCCCTCCAACTCTCTCACCCGGCGGCCCACGAACCAGGCGCTCGTGCCTACCAATCCACGGGCCAACTACGACTCTTCGGTCGAGCCGTGGACCGGCTTTGGCGATGACAGCAACGCGCTTCTGCAGCAGAACAATGGCGAGGGCTTGGTGGAGCAGGACAACGTGGAGGTGCTCGAGGAGATGGCCGCCAAAGCCAAGCGTGAAGCGCAGAGCAAACGCAAGCAGATCCCTCCTTTCGTCCAGAAACTTAGCAGGTAACCAGACCCCTGGACTCCGGCCAGTGTCGATCCATGTACTAAAACTGCCCAGCTTCCTGGAGGAGCGGAAAAACGAGGACTTGATTCGGTGGTCCGAGAAGGGCGACTCGTTCATCGTCTTGGACGAGGACGAGTTCGCCAAGACTCTGATCCCGGAATTGTTCAAGCACAACAACTACGCTTCTTTTGTGCGACAGCTCAACATGTACGGCTTCCACAAGCGCGTGGGCCTGTCGGACAATTCGATGCGGGCCAGTGAGCGCAAGAACAAGAGCCCCAGCGAGTACTACAACCCGTTCTTCCGGCGCGGGCATCCAAATCTGCTGTGGCTCATCAACAAGCCCAAGAGTGGCAGCAAAGCTAACAAGAAGGGGGCAAAAAATGCCGAGGGCGAGGCAGAAAGCGACGAAGATGCCGGACAGGAAGAAAGCCCCAGCCAGGGACAGGGGGCCTCGAGCGCTCCGGCGGGTCGCTCGCTCCCGGCGGCAGAATCGCCACCGCTGCAGAAGAAGGAAATGGCCGTGATTCGAGAGGAGCTCAACAAGGTCCGCGAGCAGCAGAAAATGATCCTTGGCGCTATCACGCAGCTGCAACGGAACAACAACGATCTGTACAACCAGGCGATGATGTTCCAAAACCAGCATGACCGACACCAAAACTCCATCAACGCCATCCTCAATTTCCTTGCCAACGTCTTCCGCAAGACACTCGAAGACGGCAGCCACCAAAATGTCGGCGACATCATCTCGAGCATGATGACGAACCAGGGTAGCCAGTCGTCCCATCAGCAAGGAAGCGTGTTCGATCTGGGCGACTTCGTTCAGTCCCAGGTGGACCCTGCGTCCAATATGAGCGGTACTCACAAGCGAGCGCGTGGCCTGCTGCCCCCGATTCCCAACCAGAACGAAGGCATGAAAGCCAGCAGGTCGCCTTCAGCCGCCAGCACCCCTTACCACGCGGTCGGGGGCCAGAATCCAGAGATGGGAACGGTCACGGAGCTGTTGGATTCGGACACGCCGCCAACCCTACGTCAAGAATTGGAGACGAACCCCCAGGAGCGCATGATGAAGATCATCAACGACCACAACGCTACAAACACGTCGGGCATGGATCTTCCGGAGGCAGCCAAGCTCGTGGCCAACGCGCCCAATACGCTCAACCAGGACCAGCAAAGCAAGTTGGTCGACTTGATGTCGAGACAGACATCGTCGCCATCCTCTACGTCGCCTACACCCGCACCAGCGCCCAGCGGAAGGGCTCCCGCTGCGGCACCGCCTCCTTCGAGTGCACCTGCTGGAGTGTCGCCGCCGCCTACGTCTGGTGCCGCTGCGCCGTCCCTCTCGCCAATCCTACGGTCTCCCACCATGCAGCCCCCGTCCCTGAACCAGATCAACGCGAATCAGATCGACTTGGGTCAGCTTTCAAGACTGCAGAGCGAGCAGGACGCCAAGATCCACGAGCTGAGTGAGATGCTAGGCCCGCTTAGCCCGTCGGGTCACATCCCCGGACTTGGCGACGGCAACGAGGCCTACTTCGATCCGCCTAATGTCGACTTGGACCAGTACTTTGACAGCAACGCATTCCTGAACGACGCGAATTTTGGAGGCGACGGCACCGACTTCAATTTTGGCCTTGACCATCATGACGCGCAAAACCCGCTTGACAACCATCCTGAGACAAAGAGTGGCAAAGACACGCCTAGTCCTACAGACACGGAGGAGATACAGCGAGACGACTTTGGTAATGACAGCAACCCCAGTCGTGACAACAAACGGCAACGAGTGGGTTAGACATACTTTCGTGCTGGCGGAGTGGACGGCTTGGGTTTCTGTAGATATCGCGCGCGGATAAAGGGTTTACGGACATAGGGTACTGGCGGGAACGGACATCGAAACGGCGAGGAGACTTGCCTACCATTTGATATCAAGGGGGCGTTTTCGATGGGATTTTTCACTCGGCAGGGAATCCTGCAGACAGCAGGGGCTGCCACTGCGTCGGGACATGCTGGCAGTATGCCTGGGCACTGCGCGCAGCGAATTGGGTGTGCCGGAGGCAACGAGGTTCATGAATGAATACACCTTTGAGGATATGGCTACGGCTTGGCCAATTTGACAATCATCCTTCTGGATGCGGTTATACAATCGCGCTGGTGTGTGCAATGATGTGTGGGCCTATAGTGGCCGAGTTGCCTTTGTCGTGGCCGTGCTTCGGTCCTCAGCACTTCGATTTACATTCCCCATGGTATCCAACAAGGCCATGGTTTCTTCTTTTAGTTCTTCTCGTTTAATAGAGGGCTACATATAATAAAAAGGCACAGAAAAAGAATTGCAATGAACTGGCGACCGCAGACATCTCATCTACCTGAGTTCGGAGATAAGATTGCCGCGTCCAGGGTAACTCACGTTTTACTTCGTAGGTTGAGGCTCGTGCTGGAGTGCTGGCGATGCGCTGTCAGATGGACCCACAGCTGGAGCACCCGGCCGACCGTCCTTACCCACCCGAGCTAGCACCCCAAGCCCCCCCCTTGGCGCGACACCACTCAGCTGCAGGCGGGCCGTGTCTGTCCCCTCAAAGGTGCAGGCTCCCGACAATGGCCAACTTCCATGACGTTGGTTGACGCTACTCCAGACGCTCACCACTGCGCCCTCAACACCCCAACACCTCGCGGAACCGCCGCCACGACGGAGATGAGAAGCTTGCAGCAGCGTGAACGCTCGCCCGTCGCTGTCCCACGCTGAGCGGCCTCACAAGCCGCCCGCGTCCCGCCCGCCGCCTACCGAGTACCGACCGATATGGCGCCCGACGGCCCCAGCAACATCCGTGTCTTCGTGCACTGGGCCGAGCAGACCGTCTTCGCCGGAGAGGACGTCAAGTGCACCGTCACCTTCAAGAACGTCGCCCCGGACCAGAGCCAGCAGAGGCAGAAGCAGCAGACGCAGCAGCAAGGCGGGGAGAGGCACAGGAATGGCCGGGCCAAGGCCGCCGCGAGTCTTACCTCGCCGCCTCCCGCGACCTCCGGCAGAGGGCATCGTCGGTCAGCGCTCTCGCTGAGCATACCGGGGACGGCTGCGCATAGCCGGTCGGGCTCGATACAATGGCCGCACACGGCGAGCAGCGCCGAATGGCGGACGGGCCATAATCATAAGCGTTCCCTCTCTATCGTCTCGATTGGATCCGCCAGCACCGTCGACGACCATGCCCAACGAAACGAGAACCACTCGATGCCTCAACGGCCACGTCGTGGCCATAACCGCGCGGCCAGTCTGCAGATACTACCTCGCGGCCAGCCAGTCCCGCCAGGGCCACACTCAGGTAGATCCCCTTGCTCTACGTGACACTTCATACACAGTCGCTAAACTTCCTCGAGCAACGACGAGGCAAAACAGTTCACCCCTGTTCAATGCATCGTACCCTCCCGATCGGTTCGGTCGCCAGACAGGATCATCGACCGCACCAAATACACCTCATCCCGGAGGGCTAAGACGATCCCCAAGAACATCTCCGAACCTCATGCCGGAGTTCCGGTTCCCTGCTGCTTCACCGCCTGAGAATGACTCCCAGCACAGCCCGCGAAGGCCCCCGACAGAGGGCTTGCTGAACCCCAAGGGCGGGAGTGGCGATCACAACAACCTCGCCGTGCGACCTAAAGACGCCCCCCTCAGTGCTGTCGATAGGCCTGCAGCACGAATCTTGTCGAGCACGAGTATACCAGGAGGGACACCGCGCAGCAGCGGCGAGTTTTATTCCATGAGCAACAACTCATCAGAGACGCTGGCATCGGAGTACGTGACGCAACCGCTCACCAGAGGGCACGGGAGGTCACCGCACCTCCGGCGCAGCTTCGGTGTAATCCAACAACAGTCACGAGCTCCGGAGTCGCTCATGATGGGCTATGCCCAGATTCAGGGTTCGTTCGTTTTGGACGGCTCGCTCGTCAGCTTGGGCCCTTTCGAGCTTGTAAAGAAAAAGGCAGCAGTGGGCGGCAGAGGTGGCGGAGTGATTGGCGTCGACTCGCAAAGGAGAGAGAGCGGACTCCTCCGTGGCTTTGGCTGGAGCAACATCAGCAACTCCCTCGGCGATCTTCTGGGCGGCGGAGAGCTGAGCACCATCAAGGAGATGCGCGGCGTTGCAAACTCGAAGTCCGTGCCGCTCCTGAGCACGCCGCAGTCTATCCTGTTTGTCGACCTGCAACTGGCGCCTGGCGAGAGCCGTTCCTTCGAATACACTTTCAAGCTGCCCAAGGGTCTTCCACCGACGCACAAGGGTAAGGCAGTCAAGATCGCGTACAGCCTTGTCATTGGCACGCAGAGGGTTGGGGGCGCCAAGGAGCAGCAGGTTCGCTCAGTCGAGGTGCCATTCCGTGTTCTGGGGAGCGTCAATAGCCACGGGGAGATCTTGGGCCACGACCTGATGAATCCATATGTCCTGCTGCGGGACGAGGCTAACGTGAAGACGCTTGGCAAAGGCAAAAAGCCTCACGCTGATACGGGGCCGTGCGACTCGCCAGCAACGATGAATGACTTCCTAACGTACGTTGACGAGCTTCTTACGAGGCCGAGAGACGAAGTTGGCGGCACGCTACTGTCTCCGACAGAGAGCCTTGGGGCAAGGCGCCAATCGTCATTCGAGGATACCACGAGCGCCAAGGAGGCTATCCATCTTGCCATCATGAGGAGCAACCAGGCTGGCGAGGGGCAGCAGAGCCCCAATCGATTCGAGATTGCCCGCAACGGGCAACGCGTTGGTGTGGTCATGCTTACGAGGCCGGCGTACCGGCTGGGAGAGGTCATCACCATGGCCATTGACTTTACCGATGCCGACATACCGTGCTACGCGGTCCATGCGACTCTCGAGACGTCTGAGAAAGTGGACCCCTCGCTGGCACTGCGCTCGGAATCGAGCATCCACCGCGTCACAAGAAAGGTCTACGTAGCATCCTCGGAGGCCGCACTCTACTCACGACGCGTCGTCTTTACGCCGACGATTCCGATATCCGCCACCCCCGAGTTCGTGACGAGCGGCGTCAGCTTTGAGTGGACAATACGCGTCGAGTTCGTCGTTCCGTATCAGGGGCCGCAAGGGCCGGACACGGGCGAGCCGCGGACAGTGCATCCTCTGCTGGAGCAGATCTCGCAAGACGAAAAGGGAGGGCTCGTGCTGGTTGCCATGGAGAACCTGGCGTGCGAGAGCTTCGACGTCTCTGTGCCGCTGCGCGTCTACGGGGCCGTGGGCAGCGGGCTGGAGCGTCTCGAGCGAGACGAGGCCGCCGAGGAAGGGCTGGCAGTGTAAAGATTACGGCGTGCGACGGAGTTGGGGTTTACTCGTAGATAATTGGATACATGGCGCGGCGTGGCTCAGATGCCTGCTCAATATGCATATATATACACAAGCTTGAGTGTCCATTACGAAACACGGCGTCTGAGTATGACATGGATTCGAGCAGCAACTTCTGGCGCGCCTCGACGTACTTGTATCTCGCGCTGCGGTGAGGCGAGGTGAGGCGCAATGCAACCTTGCCAGCTTTGGGAGCCGAGAGCGATCTCGGAGAAGAGGAGAATGGGAAGGCAGTGCAAGGAGCTTGGACGATTGGCGTCCGGGGCTGCTGGGGGGGAAATGAGCGGCGTTACGCGAGGGCACAGCTGGGTCGGACGCACATCAACGAGACAACAAGATGGCAGAATTGCCACGGGATGCAGAGTACTCCGTACAGTACGTAGTTACTCGGCACCCTGAAGGACGTGAAACATGTCTCTCCAGGCAAGGTCTTTTGGCGTGAAGCGAGAGTCAGGCCAGGCCCTTTGGCAATCTGCAACCTTCATCGCGATGTGCTACGAGGACATCACGATGCAACATGGGGGCAGGCCAAGACGCGACACGCACACGAAACGACGGAGCTACCTTGCGTATCTACGGAGGACGGAATACGTACTGCTTCGTTTCGACGGGGCTGAGGTCGCGTCTTCTCCCTTATCGCAAACTCATTTTATTTGCAGCTAAAGCCCAACCAACTGCAGACAGGTCCAGCAGCCCGGCAATTGGCAGTGGCTGGCTGGCCGGCTGGCTAGGGGCTGCGTGTTTGCCAGAACCCATCGATTGTCGGCGAGCGGCACCGCAGGGGCACAGACAGACAGGCACAATGACCATTGACCAGGCTGGGAAAAAGGGATCATCGTCATTTCACGCTGGCGCTCGGCCCGGGGCGCTAAAACGCACAGAGGAGATCAACGCCCAGCCTCCAGCTCCTCGGTCGGTCTCCCCCCCTGTGGCCTG